GCATGTACTTCCTGGGGTCCGCCGGCTGCTCCAACACGAAGCCAACCTCTGGCCCTTCGCATTCCGCGCTTCTTCCGCCACCAGATAGATGGCCAACATCCGCCACATCATCACATCGTCCTCCCAGACCGCCTTTTTCTCATGCGGCGTGAGGTCGCTCCTCCCAAACGGCTCTTCCGGTGACCTCACCGGTCGTGGACCACCGCCAGGTAGTGGATAATGTCGGAGCACACTCCTGGTCCGGCAATTCGGTCCACCCACCACCGCATCGAAACGGGAATCCAACGCCCCCCGCAGCAGGGCTGCATAGAGTTCGTCCGACATCATGTCGTGCTCCGGCCCACGCTGCAAGTCAATCTCCAAGACGTCCATGTGGTCGCCTCCAAGCTCCTTCACCGCCCTTTCCAGGGTGTATCCTTCACGGGGTCCCGCATATAGGTGCAGGATGGCTTTCCGGCCTTTCTGCTCCAAGGACCTTCTCCGTCTCCGATTCCATGGGATTGCCCGCAATGTTTCCGCCGGCTCCACCAGAACCTTCCTTCGCACCTCCTCCGGTAGGTCACGAAACGCAGGATGTAGTTCCACCACCTTTCTGACCGTTTCCCAGTCCAGGACCTTCTTTAGCTTTACTTCGCTAATCCGGCCCTTCCTTTTCTCCTTCCCCTTTTTCTCAAGCTCTCCGAGCAACTTCGTCGCCGTCCGCTGGGTCACATAGGGGCATCCATCCTCCATGTGAATCCGCAAAGCTCCCAGCTCTGGATGTACCACGCGGCACTCATCCCCATCCCACGTCACCACGCAGTGCAACCTCTCCACCAGCAGACCCAACGGAATGATGGAGCCCACGCCCTCGTTCTCCTGGACGATGATGCCTCCCTCCGTGATCCGCATGACTTTCATCTCTCCTCCGGCAAGGGCAACATCGATCTCATCCAGATTCTCGATGTCTTCACCTTCTTGCCGGGCACGTGGAGGATGCGTAGCTCCCGAGTCCAGTAGCCCGCCATCACTCCACCTCCCTTGAGCGTTTACCTGGGCCCTTTTGAGAGACCCAGATCTCAACCCATTCAACTGTTTCTGCAGGTCGTCCAAGCGGTCGTTTCTCTCGTCCACCTTTTTGACTCCCTGCGAGGCGTTGAGGCTCCGTAGCATCTTTGCTGCTTCCTGCAACACCCCACCCATAGATTCGTCTTTCCTCGAATCTTCCACCACCGTTTCCTTCTCCCGGGTCGGCTTGATCTCCTCCTTCTTGGGTGCCGAAGCCGGTGCCGTCGCCACGTCGTTTTCCTGGGCCACCCTTCTCACAGCCGCCGGCTTCTCAGGTGATGTCGGCCTCTGCTTTCTGGGGCAGTCTTTCCTGATGTGTTCCACTGATCCACACTCCCAGCAGCGTCCTCTTGCGGTCTCATCCGTGGGGTGCTGCCACTCACAACTCCGGCCTTTTCTACAGCCGGTGTCCTTCATGTAGAACCTGCAAACTAGGTCTCTACGTCCCGTCGCCTGCTCCTTCTCTGTCTCGACCTTCCGGATCTTGGCGTCCACGGGTTTTGTCACCTTTCTCTCACACCCCTGGCTGCCCTGTTCCAATTCGGCCAAGACATGCTCCGCGAACTGCTGCACCGTTCCATGCGTAGGCACGCTGTCCACCCGCAGCGTGTTGCAAGGGAAATCCGGAACGTCAGCTCCCGGTTCGTCTCCACCACTTTCCGAATCATCTTGCTGAGGCCCCTCATCATCACCGTGGGATCTGGCAACGCCAAGTTCATTTCGCTCGCCCGCCGCCTCCACCTCAGCCACTTTCTCAAACTCTTGAGCGCCTCCGGGATCGTAGCAGCTTCCACCGGCTCCTCCAACGCCCGTAGGACCACTCCTTTTTCTCCAAGGCCTCCTGGTTGATACACTACCAGAAGCCTACAGATCGCCCCGTAGGCCGACACCGTATTCGTGGCGATCATCTCGTCTCTCACCGTCTCCGGAACCGCCTGGATGATGAGCGAAGCTGCCCGCCTTTCCAACCGACTCCATTTCCGTACCCCCAACACCTCAGGCGTCTTGGGCACCATGTTGACCCTGTTCAGCGGGATCTCCTTCATGTACTCCTCGTACCACGCGCGGGCCTCCTTTAAGAGTAGGTCCCACCATTCCATCGAACTGTCACTCAGGTCCGACATCAGGGGATGGATGATGGTGAACCAATCCCCTAATTCTATCGGACCATTCTCTGGGCTAAATTCGCCCAGGCGGGGCAACTCCGCGAAGCCCGCCTTGACCGTCTCAATGGTCTCCGTCTTCTCCTTCTGCTCCAGGAGCTGCTTCTGCATCATCTGCATGCCCTCCATGAGCTTCAGCATTACGTCCATTTGGTGGCCGTCCTTTCCGGATCCAGCCACATCACTTGCCCTTTCCGAGGCACCGCCATCCTGCTCATCCCGAGCATTTCCTTTTTCTCCACCAGCCCCAAGTCCGCCTTCTCCGCCCTTGCCATTCGAGTGGTCGCGGGTCGGGCCGTAGGGCTCGGGGTTCTGATTGTCCCTGACCGTGCTCATGCCGTTCACCTTTTCCCGGCTCTCCGGCGTGCCGTAGTCAGCGTCCGTCTCCTTTCCTTGTTTCTTCAACACTTCCACCTCATGCTGAAGCCTCTGATTCCGCGTCATCAGCTCCTGCATCATCTGCATGAGGTGTACCGGGTCCACTCCCGGTGCCGATGGTGTCGTCCTCGTATCCTGAGACGCCGCCATCATCTTCATCATCTGGCCCTCCGGCTCCGGATTCTCCATGGGTAGGTACCTCGGTCGAAGTTGGCCACCACCCGGAGTGTCTCCCTCCAGGTTACTCTCCACGGGCAAGTGCGCCGGCCTCGGTTGGTCCATCCGCGGTCCCCTCAGCAACGGTGCTTTCTCGTCCCACTTGTTGAACTCTCTGAGCTGCTCCGGGGTGAACAGAGGCTTCATGGCTTCTGGTTCTCCTTCCGGTCCATTTGGCCACCTGCGTGGAGGCTCTGGATCGAGTTCCTCCTCGCCCTGGCCTGGCTTGAGCGGTGTTGCCGTGAGCTCCAGCGGCTTCACCACCTCCACCATCCTCCTCGGAGGTCTCCTGCCTCCAGCATAGGGCACCATTTCCTGCCCTATGATCTCCAGGCTCTCCACCTCCGGTTCTTCTCCATCGGCAGAATCGAGCCTTTCTCGAGGTTCTCCACTTCCTGATGCCCTTGTCGGTTCCATTGCCGAGCGAGGGCCCCTGTTTTAGGGGTTTGGGCTCATAACCTGTGGTGCCGCTATTCAGAAGCGGTCTTTTCCTCGACACAAAAACGGCTCCCATTGTGCATGGTTTGTTGCCTTTACATGAACCCCTCTAGTTCACAGGAATATTTCACCAACCTGAAATAAGGTTGGGGGGTATTTCCCACATAAGCCACCATTTGGGGTGAGGTCGTGTGAGGTCGTGTGAGGTCGTTATTATTCACCCAGAACCATGCAAAGAATGCTCATCAGGGCGTCAGGGGGAGCAACAACTAATGGGGGAACAACAAGACCAAGCCCCAAAGAATAAACAACCAAGCGCAAACATGGATTGCAAACCATCAAATGCAACACACCTACAAAACACCCGCTAACATACGCAAGAAACGCTTCTTGAGAATCTTCCGGGCACTTTCCTATACCAAGCCTGAACAAAAACCAGGACACATACCAACACAGTCACAAGGAAACTCAATTAAGAAACAACCAATAAACTTGGAGCCACCAGATTCAGAGGTCAAACAGCAAGGACTCTTCTTCTGGAGGAAACTGACCAGACATCCGATTCCAGTTTCTCCGTGAAACTGTCGTCCTTGCTTTTGCTTTTCCGTACAGGAATCCCCGGAATGTGAAGAACACAAACCACATTGGCAACAAGAAGACCCCGATGTGTCCGCATGGGCAATTCTTGGACCGAGAAAGAGGGCCGCTGCCCTTTCAGCTGGAGGGACAAGATGAGAGAAGGCTTTCGGGAGGTTCTGAAGCCCAAGAACTGCGAACCAAAGGAATCCTGTGCCCTGAGGCTCCCATTGACCTCCTGTACCATGGGGCTATAAGCAAAGAAGCAACTTTTCAGACACTTGAGTGGAGTTCAAACTTGCTGTTTGCCATGCGAAAAGTGCGAAAAGGTCTCCATTCTCAATTGCTCTTCACTAGAAGCTTCAAGTCCATAAATTTGCGAAGACTTTTTGAGGTGGATGACAGGAACACCAAAGAGCAACCAACCACCAAAGAAGAAAAGCACCGTCAAACGCCAATCCAACACGGAAACAAGGCAGGAGGCCAAAACTCAAACTTAAACTGTTTGAACAAGACCCTAGACGCCTCCTTTTGGGCGCCGAATCTTCTGCCATATCCAGGTTGGCAGCCCAGTTTCATGCAGGTTTCTGGTTCGATGCTGTACCAACACACTCATGTGCCAAGATGTGTGCTACGGATGCTAGGGCTGGAAATGAAAACATTCGAACGGGGGCTTGGTACTGTGCGCGCTGGACAAAACACCGTCATACTCCGCGGTTCATGTAAAGGACATGGAATAAGTGCGTCCCCTTGTTTTGTGGGGAACTTCCGGAATCCCCCGCCATGCCCCACAGCACGCTGCTGCATCGTCGAGTTGAGACAAAGCCTTGCGCACCAAGCTTTCGGAGCTGCTTTCCTCTGAGCTTGCGCCGGTTCATGGCCTTCAAGCGCCCAAACTTTGTGGACAAAGCAGTGCCTCCCATGGACCATGGGCCACTCGATGAAGCGCTGGAAAACGTTCTTCTCTTCCAGACTTCAGCTCTTTCCAGATTCCGTGTTGCATGGAATCGGTCCATTGCCCCTAATGGCACGACTCTCCTTTGTGTTTCGATTTTAAAAACGTGATCGAAAAGGGGACTCTCCGAATCCCATTTATGAGAAACATATCAAAACCAGGATCTCCAAATCGGTGGCATGCTTGACTTATCAAGCCCCATCTCTGTCTGGCTGCAGCCAGGTCGCGTATCCGCAGCCTGCGGCTAGGTGATGGATCCCATCTAAGACTCACACTGTGACTTAATCCTGCACCAGTTGGAATACTGGGATACACCACCCGCTAGCCGAAAAAGAATGTCCATCCACGGTAGGTTGCCCGCTTCAAGGGTCATTCTGTGAAGCTTATTCACCTGGGTCATCATGTGAGTTTCGCCGCCTATTTCGGCAAGCGCAGTGTCGCTTCGGTTGCTTGCGCATTGTCCTGGCACGGGGTATTGGCCCCTGGGGAACCCGAACCAGAGGGAGTCGGGAATTCATGCCTTTTCATGGCGTAGTCCTTTCCAACCCTTGGGTGGCAACAAACGTTTTTTTTTGCCAGCCCCCTAACAATGAACAGAAAAACAAAAAACAAAACAAAGAACATGCCAGCAACAGTGAGGACTTAGAGGCTCAGGTTTTGCTTGGCTCAGAGTGTCTGCGCCTGTAGTTCTCCTCCTGCAAGACAGCCACCGCCTGCGCATGGGTTTGGGGGGGGGGGGGGCGGGGGAGGGCGTCGTTGTTCATGTGAGCCATGAGCAGAAATGTGCCCTCCCTCGTCCCCTGGAACCTCCTTCCCCCTTCCTTATAGCCTTAATTCGTCAGACCGGGTGATTGAAGCATCAACGTGCGGACAGGCCGACTTCGATCAAGATCTCCTGAGTGGATTGGCCAGACGAATCTGTTTAACTTTTGCGGGCCACTCCAATTGGATCCCAAACACTACAAGAACGCGAGAGCTTCTCCTCAAAGAGGGAAGGCATTGAGCATTGACGTCTGCGGTTGGAGGTTTGAGGGTTCCGAAAGCGTGGATTTGAGCCAATCTCAAGTGATTCCGCTGGCCCAGAGAAACACCCCCCCGGCATGATTGGAGCTTCTGCACGGGCATAGTATATGCCAATTCTGTTGGTTTGATGTAAACTGAATTGTGACTCTGCCGAGCGAAGCCAACCCGGTGCGTCAGGCGCTTCCGTTCATAAGCTGCGAATCCCTGGTGAGGAGGCGCTTTCACTTGCCCAAATGGATTGCGGGTATCCCTTCATTGTCAACCAAGCACATGCGTCATTCAATTGACAACTCAAACACTGCACTTTGGACAACCCTTTGAAACTCACTTCCTGAGTGGGTTGACAAAGCCTGTTTCTGTTGGTGTCCGCCCATCGCAAAGTCGCGCCTGTAAAGACTTGCGACCTAGCGCGAGTCAGCAGCACGTGACCCAAATTAGTGGGCTCCAGCAGCCAGCTTCTCAGCCCCGAAACTTAGCCTCAAAGAAATGCCCCGGGGGGGGGGGGGAATGCGAAAAAAAAAAGAAAAAGCCTCGGACAAAAAAATGGGGGGGGGGGGGGGGGTTCAAACGATCTAAAAGCAGATCGCCCCCGGAAAGCGGGGCCCACGCTTCTCATGACGTCAGTAGCCCGGATGCCCAGCGGATTTCCATGAGAAACCAAGGGCATCCCTTTTTTGGTTGGTTGAGTTTACAGGGGAACCCTTCCCAAGCAAAGGAAAAAAGGGCACCAAGGGGCAACAAGGGAACCAACCAAGCCCAGTTTCCCTACTTATTACCATGCTTCTAACCTGGCTTGAACATCCAAGATGTTCTCTGATGGCTGCTGTCCAAGGCTCATGCGGCATCGCATTTTTGGTGTCTTTCCCTTAAAACCCCGGCAGGCTAGAAGCTTGCCTGGCCGCGCCCACTTGAACCTCTGACTCGGAGCATTTCTACGCCTATATAGATTTCGGGGGCCTCAGGGCCTGAGTCGATGCATAGCACTGAGCACAACCTGTAGCCAGTCATTCAAGAAATGGAACAAGAATACCACCAAGAATGCTGTAACGGTCAGCAACAAGTTTTGAACTTCTGAGCCCCCCCGGGAAAATCCCACCTGAGTCATAACCAAAACCCGGTACTGAAAGGTTTACCAAAATCCATGTAATCAAATTGAGAGGCAATCGCAACTATTATTGGCAGCTGGGATCATCCCTGACATACCAATCACCTGTGTGTCCAGCTGATCAGAGGAATATCAGAGGTCGACTTCATGAGTCCAAGTTTGGTCAATCTACGGAACTCGGAACGCCTTTGGGTCTTGAGATACGGCGCCCAATTGGCCACCCTCCAAAAAAGCAAAAACAAATCTACAAATCGGAACCAGTTTCTGGAAGACCATGTTCCTTTGAAGGACCTCTGTGGAGGTTTCGAATGTTGGGCTTTCCGCCGGCTAAGCCGGAACGAATCGTTCCGAATCGTGACCCGAGGCCGGCGCCATCCCTTTCTGCAGCCTGAGGCAAGTGGAATCCATCGACCAGCACCCCCCAACGGATTCTTCCCATGTCCTTGGCATCCCCTTGGCGCGGCAACCAAACAGCAGCTGGGGGCGGGGGGGTTGGGAAATCTGTCTCAGATTTACCCCTGCTTTGATTGGGGCTCTCCTCTAAACAACTTGCAAGTCTCGTCGGCTTTCGTTGCTGCCATCCGATCTGAGCACCAGGGTAGAAGGAACCCAAAGAAAACAAAAGGAAAGGAAAGGACACCCCAGGGAACCGAGGAAACCCAGAAATTGCTCTTGGGAAGCGCTTGTGCTGTGACTCACACGGCCAAGGACCAAAACGCCGGTCGCACGCCCAGGTTCCGGTGGCTTGCGAAGCAAGTAAACACCAATGGCCATAGGCTGTCTTCCATCCCCTGCTAAAAGTCTAACTTTAGTGGTTTAGTGGAAAACCACTAAATAGCTAAAAAGCTAAGGGGATGGCTGCGAACCACAAAGGCTTGTGACACCTCTGACTCGTTGACGCAGACGGGGGCAGATGTGCTTTTTGCCCCAAAGGTTAATCGATTTTTGGAAGGTCGCACTCGGGGGCAAACATGAGCAATTGCGTGTTATTTGCCGGTGCAAGCCCAACAGCCTCTTCGAACAGTAAACTTCTCGCTTCACGATTTTGCACCGGAGCCACAGTGCAAACAAAAGGCAAGTTGATCTCTCGGCAGAGATAAAATGATCAGCGGGAAGCTCAATCCTTAGTGGATTGGTCATTAAAAGAACATCTTGTTTGCACCAAATTGGTCTTCCCAACAGTCCCCCGTGTCGGGTGTTCCGCTGGTATTCTGGGAGAGCAATGCAACTAACTATGCACCATTGGCAACATTCCCATCATAATATCGCGATGTAAGGTATATAGTTTGAAGCCATTGTACCACCCTAAAGGGTTCATGACCGCAGCGCTCAAAACCTGGTGCTAGACGCTGGTGCTTTTGGCCTTACGGCGGCCTTAATGTCCGCTGATAAGTCGAGCCAGGTAGTCGAACTACCAACATTGCGCCAAGAACCGGTTGGACCCTGCTTCATTATCTCAGTGCTGTTTTGCTTCCCGGCGGTGGTGTAACCAATCACGTCCTTTTTACATCCTCTCCAAAGGCTTCCTCCTCACATCTTCTTGGCTCGCGTGTTAAGCCTGAACCCGTCACTGCATTCTTCACGCACGAAAATAGCGAAGATAGGGCACCCGGGATCCTAGATGTTCACTTCGGAAGGTAACGACGTTAACCATGGTCGGGGAATGCTTGAACCGACTCTCAGTTACCCCCGACCCCTCTGCAAAAAAATAAAATACTTCTTGTGGGTTTAATGGGAAACCCGCAGATTTCCGAAAACAGGAAGTCTAAAGATCCAACCCAATAGCAATGAAGAAACATGGATCAACCAGAGACAGGCAACTGGTCAGATCCGGTCGATTCGCTTTGGGCAAGTGGGATGGTCGAACGAGAAAGCTGGGACAGCTGGCCTCAACACAATCGGCCGCCATTCGGCATCAAAGCGCCCCAGCGAAATCTGGTTGCAAATAGTGCCCTGAGGGCTCAGTGGGGGGAGTGGGGGGGCAGTCGACAAACCTGCTTCAGTTTATACTCAGATACCAGTCAAATCAGTATAAAGTAATCTCCTCTAAGATTGCCTGAAATCTTGAAATTGTTTTGCCAGAGTCGCCCAGAATCAGCGTCGTATGCGACTCGGATATGTGGATACTTCATTATTTGATAGCAGACTTGCTGATACAAACGGAACCACAGGTCTGATTTCAATGAGAGAGAGCCCACCCATTGTGGGCGGTGTTTTAGCTTCCATTTCAAGACTCTAAATTGGGTTCCGTAGTTTTCGAGGCATCCCGATGTAAAAGCCTTTATCAAAAGTGCGCTGGCTGGTGCTTGAGCGATTGCGTTTTGCTCATTTGCTCATTGATTTGTGTGACATGTGGTCCACACGAAACTTTGCGAACGCCTTTCCGCGGACGCCTTTCCATGGATCACTTTCGTCACGTGCCGTCACAGCGTTTTCACCCAATTGCTTGAGCCCGCCAGATAGCCCGAAGCCAATCGACGTAAAACTGGCCCTCGCTTTGGCTCGACTGCACAATGCCAAGTGGTTGATTTATGATTCACATGTTCCGCTTTGATGAGTTTGTTAATGGGGGTAGAAAAATGGCCACATCCCGAAGTCTGGCCACCCTGCCTGTCAGATCTTAAGTCCAATGTTCCTGTGACTTCCATTTACCAGTTCATTTGGTAAAATTCGGCAGAAGCACTGGATTGAAGTACAAGATATCAGCCACACCGCTCCCAACTGCTGTTTGGTTGCCGCACTGGATGTGGGACATTGACAATGCAGTTGCAGGTCGGGGGGTGGTGCACTGTTGCATTTCAACCCCGGAACCTTCCCTGTCGCCATCTTTGTCTCCAACTCTTGGCCCATAACCCGAGCAGTCAGCTGCCGTTCGGTCGCCTTTTTGACACGTTGGCAAGGAGCTCGGCGCCGAATTGCGTTGCTTGGTCTCAGGGAATATGGGAATAACCGCACCGACAATTCCTAACTTTCAGGTCCAGTTGGTAGTTGGGAGGCGAAGCCGTTCCTGAGGCTGTCCGATTTTGGCTGACGCCTTCTTTTGGTGGTTTCAAAGAGTAACCTGCCTCTTATTTTCACCAAAGTTGACGGGATCATGGACAAGCGAGGCAACTGTTTCTGAAGTTTACCTTACTGTCCACGTTGGCATCGAATTTTCTGAGGGTCCCTGTTAAAGGAAAATGCCCTTCCAGGTCCCATCAGTCAGGTTCCATGTAGCTGGATGGGAGGATAAAAGGGGATGTGGTGTACATCACATGGACAGAAAATGCAATGAAATGAAGGGTATTCCAAGCATGACACACTCTTCATCCGGTTTCATGGAGAAGCCGCCTGACTCATGTGATGCCAACGTAGGATTCCGATCCAAACATGCCTACTTTCTCGCAGAGGGGGATTCCCTTATCAAAGACATTGACTTCAAGTTTCCAACCCTGGCCCTTTGTCAAGATGTGGATTCGGATAGCCCTAGAACCTAGAATGAACTTCGGCTTCCTAGTGGTTTCCCTTGAAACAACCCTTAAAAGGGCGCCGAGCCGCGGGGAAAAACGAAAAATCACCGAGCCGCACACGCCGAAACGGGCGTCTAGGGCAGCGCCGGCGGGTTTCTAAAGGCCTCCACTTCACAGGCCAAGGGCCAGCCTCGCGACGCCGGCGAAACCGTTGGGTGTGGCAACCGGCACCCCCCACGCGGTCTTCCTCGAGTTGAAATATGAAGTCCAAAAACCATATCGTAGAAGAAAAAAAACAGCAAGCATGCATGCATGCAAGCAAGCAAGCAAGAAAGAAAGCAAGCAAGCAAGCAGGCAAGCAAGCAAACAAAGGCACGCAAAGGCAAACAAAGGCACGCAAAGGCACGCACTCACACGTGCGCGTGTGCGTGGGCGAGTTGTCAGGTGAGCGACTTTCGAGCCACAATCATGCCATCCGAAGCAGGGCTGACTTCTAGTAGGGCCAAAACCGTCTCTGGGTACTTCATGGCATGTGGGAATCCATTGACTGACCAATCCACCTTGACCAAACCGAAATATGGCACGGAGAAATGGGACCCTTTGCGTATTGTGTGGAACACCCAGCAACCCCAACATCCAAAAGACAACAACTGAATCACACTCAAAACCTGGTATTTAGGTTGCTTTCCAGAACTCATGGAAAGAAAATAGCACTTACGGTTGGGACAGCCCAGTACCTTCCCTTGCCTGGATTTTGAGCATAGCTCAACTCTGGACTTACAGGGGCCACGAAAGGGCAAAACGCTTTGGCTGAGCCCTGGTCTGGCTAAACAATTCCACACAGAATTCCGCCCCATTTGGCAGTGACTCAAAAAATGGAATCCACAAAATGGCACTCATTAAATCCAGCGCAATGTCAGCGGTGTAATTTTGAGCCACACCCATTTTCGGTCAGTTGCTTGCCTCTGGCAATGAACTAAAGGTTGCCTGTGCCAGGGACCCCGGCCACAAATGCCGCGCACCAAAATTGCGCGGACGCCCTCTTCCTCCTCGACCCTGACGATGATTGCTGCGTGGCGGTCTCTATAGCTTCTACTCAACCACCACCCCAAAACGCATAAAATTCCATCCAAATAACATTGTCATTTTCTCGAAAACAAACAAGTGCTCCAACAACCCTGCCACAAGCGTAGAAGTTTGGTTTTTGCACAAGGAAGCCTTGTGGTTTGGCGAAAGGTTTGAGGTTGGGAGAACAAAAATCTGCCCACAATGGAAGAAAACTTGCAACTTTGAGCTGGGGTCTTTCCCCAGTCTGCCCAAAACCCCGGTGGAATCGGTGTCTATCACTTGTCCCACTCACTTGCCACAATCACTTCCAAGCAAAGGACGGCGAGACCTGCAATTTACGGCTAATGTATCATGGGAACCAGGAACGCCCCTTACGATGGTTGGCTGGTTGCCATAACTTGAAACCAAAGGACCACCTTGACTACACATGGGGCCCAGAAATGGGAAATCAGATCCGGTCGACTCGCTTTGGTTGCCAGTGAGCACAAGATTCGCAAGGCCCTTAATCACACTTCCCAAGTTAGCTGTTGTAGCCTTTCCCAAGAGAATGTCTTTCGGGGTGTAAGCAGGTCTAAGCGAATCCGTTCAATGCTAATAAGTTATGGAAGGTTTGCATGAGCCCTCACAGAAACCCTTCCATATCTCCAAAAAGTACTGCTGACTGAGCCAAAACCCATGACCGTAGAGTGTAGCCCAAACAACTGTGCTCTTATCAGTTGGCCACATCCCAGGCCTTCGATTCTGAACGGATATTCGGGGTGGAAGGATTCTTGCTGTTGCTTGCGCAAGAACATACAGGTTCACAGCAGTCGGCTGGAATCAATAGCAAGTGCTGGCTGTGGAAATTGCATTCACACGCTCCAGGGTCCATTACAAAAGTGCTCTGTGTTTTCACTCAATGGATGCGACCAAAGAGAACGGACACATCTGCGACACGTGAGACTGCCATTCTGGAACTGAGATTGCTTGGCTAAGGTTCTTTGGGGCTTGGAATTTAGCGTCACAAGTTTGTGGAAACCGGGCCACTTTCTGTGGTGCCTTGAAGTGGGTAGCTGCAATCCCGGTGAGTTTATCACTAGAGCTCTCCCTTGGTATCACAAGTGGAATGCTATGAAACCCAATTGTTCGTGGACAGATGCGGGGTCTCCAAGACTGGGTGCAATAAAGATCCAGCTTAATTGATCCACGGTCGACATAAACCAACCACAGATCGATTGACCATCTCATTGATTCCCCTAAAGGAAAACTAGTGGTCAAGAAGCATCCGACCTGCTAATGCGCTCCGTGCCTTGCTTGGTCAACTTTCAGCCCTACACCCAGGATTTCAAACAGTTCTTTGTTCATCATTGTAGTCAAGGGGGAAAGATGTAAGATGGTCTCAACCTTTGATACGGATTGACTAGAAATATGAAGACACTTATCAAGACACATTTTAGTCAGAGTGGCAGTTCAACTGTCCCAATCATGAAGAAACAAATGGGAGAATCACATTGGCAACTGAGACTGTTGGTTCTACCAAGATGGTTGCAAAGGTTCAGGTAGCCCTTCCTATACCCATGGCAAAACCCGGCAATTAGTCGAACCGCCTATTCAAGTGCCCCATCGGACCGATTTTGTGCGCTTGGATCAAAGTCCTCCCGACGAAAAGTTGGCTTCAAATGGATCTCGCCTCCGATACTCCACGAACTCGCCCTGCAACAAATACCTCGGGGAAGTACGAATCACCGCCAAGCTTGACCCGTTGAACCCTGGCTGAACTAATGTTGGTCAACCCCTGTGTATTAATAGGGGGGTGGTTTTGGCCCCGCCAAAAGTGGTCTGATTCCCCACTGAACCCAGGGACACCCCTATATGACTAAACTGTGTTTGATTTTTCTGGGGTCAACATTACAGCACCGCAAAGTCACGGACCTTCTGTATCAGGCCTCAGCCTCGTTAAGCCCCAGGTGAGCTGTTGCACCGTAGCGCCAGTAAACAACACATATGAGTCACAACAATGTGTGTTGGCCCCAGACAAAAGGCAAGAACTGGACGAAGCTCCTGATTTCCGTTGTGTGCTGCGCATCTTGAGGGAGTCTTACCGAGGATACCAACCACTTGCCCAGCCAGGTCTGCCCCTCAAGTAAAAAAACTCCTTTTGCTGAGGTTGTGAGGGGCGGTTCCAGAAAACCTGCCCCAGAAAACTGGGACAACAGGATCTGGCTTTTCAAAAGAGTGATAGTTGAAAAGCTCACTTCCTGAGTGTGTTCGCCAAATGGGTCCAAACTGTTCGTTGCCACTATGGTATATGCAAAAACAAGTTGCTGAAGTCCAGGAGCTCAGGTGAGTAAGAATGGACATGGAACTAGACCTAAGAATGCAGTTAAACAGAATGAAAAAGTGGCCATCATGGGAAAAATGTACCCTCCAGAAGCCTGGTACCCTTCCGGAATCTTCCGGAACCCAAGTCAGCCGGGGAAAAAAGGTGACCAAAAGGAAGCACCACAGGGGTAAATGGGCAACCAGTTTCTTTGTTCTTCTCCTTTTTTAAGGGAACCCGATGTTGGTTGGTTTTGAAAGGGACAATCTGGGTACTATGTTCCGCCAGTGCGTAAGTGGTTCGCCACTTGGGGTATAACCCCCTAACAAGGTTAACCCCACTTACTAGGACTTGCAAGTGGTTGTTGTAACCTAGGCAACCAAATAATGTTGAACTCTCTGCATAAACTCCCCCCCAGTTGTTGATCAGGGGTCCCGGTCCCCCTGGAAGAAAGGAACCTCCACTACAACTAGGTCCTCCAGAACAGAGGTTTGAATAGGGGTATCCTTTTTTTTTCTGTAGTTTGTTTTGGTAGGGGAACCCCCAAAAAAGGGTAAAAGGGTACTATTGGGGGACCTAGACAAAGGACCTGACTAATAACTGTGGAGGTTGCTGCACACCGACGGCATTAAAAATGGCGTTTTGGGTACGAATTTCCCAAGACAAATGACCATGGCTTGCACATAAGTCGTCTACGCCCACGGAGAACCAAGCCGAATTACTCCTGTTGCCCCAAGGTGTTTGCAGACCGAGTAAGCTGGGTTGCTGTTCCCGAGCAAAAGGTGACTCACATTCTGGAGGTATGGAAGTAAGCAAATCAGCTTCCATAGGGTCGGTGTATCCGTGGGCAAAGGGATTCGGTCGCACCAAAGTCATGCTGACAAGGATGAAACTCGATACTTGATCAACCACCAATCCCCACTGCCAAAACCCCAAGTTTGGTAACCAAAAGCAGCTGCTGTCCTTTACAACCCTTTGTATGGTAGCAAGATACTTTGATTTGTGCCGCCCACTAAACATGAACAGAACAAACAAAACACACACACACACATAACGGCTTGATTCAACAACAGTGAAGTGTCTATCCCAAACCGAAATTCCAAGTACTGCCCAAAAACCAGTTGCAGGGGCGGTGCTGGTGTTGGGCAGATTCTGTCAATCTAGGTGAATTATAATAGTTTACCAACCTGACATAAGGTGGTTGGGGGGTTATTCCCCACATAAACCACCATTTGGGGTGAGATCGTGCGAGGTCGTTATGCTTCACCCAGGTCCATCCCAAACCCGACCGCAGGATCGATAGGCAGGTCACTTCGCCGTGGGCGCGGCGTTGCCGCCTGTGGTCAGCGACTGAGAAATCACCGCCGCCCGGCGCTCGTCGCGGGTGTCGATCACCTCCCCGCACCTTCGACCGCTGTCCGGCTGTCCGGTGAGTGGTTTGGACTCCAAAACGAAAGAGCGTCGTACCCAAAACGCATTTGAGTCATAATCAAAACCCGGTATTAAACTGGTCGAAATCCCAGAACCATGTAAAGAATCAAGAAGGCGGCCGCAGCTACTTATAGTTGGGATTGTCCCTCACTAACCTTCATCTACCCAGGTTTTGATTGTGGCTCATTTGGGGTTAGGTGCCCTGTTCTCGGTTTAAAGGGAAACCAAGAGGTTTCAAGCCACCATTTAGGAGTTGGGGGCATTCTGCTTCCTCCTTGTTGGTCTGGATTCGTGGTTTTGAGGTAATCTCGGGTGTTGATTGATTGAACCTCCGACAATTAAAGATGTTTTCAGTGATGCCCAAAAATTGCCAACACTACAAGTTAACTACTGCTCACAACCCAAGGTATTCCAAATACCAGAAAACCGCCCGGGAATAGAGAAACTTGCCGCCAGGTCCCGACCTGCTGTGCCTACTAAATTCAATTGAGTTAAAACTAAAACAATTGGAAACTCACCTTGCTGGCCTCACTTCAAGTCAAGTCGCATCTGGCATGGGCAGCTCCCCTAGAATAATAAGACCAGCCACAATAGTAGCACGTCACGCTACAGCCACATACTGCATCACGTTACACTCACTGCAACCACAAAGTGCGGCACATCATACAACACACTCACGAAGCTATCACCAGTCTAAGGTCTTCAGGACAGAAAGGCTCAGAAAGCGGCGACCCCCTACATTACCCAGAATGATGGCCAAGCCCTGCAGCCACTGGTATGGAGCTGTGCTTCACTAGATTCATTCCGAGGTGGGCGCCCGTGAGTGCGATCCCACCACTTGCAGTAGGCCTCGCGAATCCATCGCATCGTGGCGAGGGCTCTGCGGGTGGAAGGGACTGTGATGCCGAACAAACACCTATAAGGCTAAGGGCTCTTCTTAAGCCACGGTCGCCCAAAAACAGGAGTCTACCATCAGTAATGATTTCGCATCTTAGCGGCCCCCCCCCCAACAACTGATGTTCCCATGTCCCTGTGAACTTGAATGACTTCACGGCGTAAAACGGCAAATGTGTTGCCGGGGCTTTTCCAGAGATGCGAGCACCGTTCCAATTTTGCTACGATTGCAATTCAAATCACGCCGCATGTGTCGAAAGAATGCCATCAAGTTCTCATGGATTCGCCCGTCAAATGTTGACTTGCGCCTTCACCACAACGAGAAGTCAAACTTGAACCACACAAACGAATTCTACAACAGTTTAAACCCCTGAACAAGCCAAAGAAGATTAGGGTGGGTTCCCATTAGTTTGAAATAGTCCGCCAAATCAAGAGGATCGCCCTGTTCTGCTTTATCCAGGCAACCTATTGTGTTGCGCCGACGGCAAAACGGGGACCCACCTCCGCCGATTCCGTTTCTTGAGGCTTTGACCAGAGTCAAACCTGACCGAGCGCGGACTCAGCTTAGGGAAATCTGACAGAGATCGTTGGAGACAAACCCGCACAAAAATCAATCTGAAAGCACGGCATGAGCAACTTGAAGCAACGTTTGAGAATTTGGGCTCACGAGCACCCGCCCACCCCAACCATTGACTTGATCCCAAACCCTAGAGATTCGCTTTCCTAGAGATTTTTCTTTTACCAACCCCTTTTGGTTCGTCTTTTAGAATAAGCGCACCGGATACCATGCGCTTTTCCAAAACATATCAAGTCCAGCAGCGTAGCTGGCGTTTCCCACTGTGTTCTACATGCATATATGGGCGTGCCGTCTGTAGCCGACCCCCCAGCATAGTGGTTTGTCATGTTAGTTTCCCTGCAAAGCTGGTAGCAAACAAAATGACACGTCCCATACGTGAGTGTGTCACGCACTCAAAGGTTACCCAAAGGCCTATGGGCCATGTGAGCGTGCACAAAGATTGCGCGAAAAAAAAAAACTAATAATAATAATAAAAAAGACCCAACTGGGCTTCGGTGTCCTTTTGGTTTCCCATGTTTCCCAAAGGAAAGCTTTACTTTTCCAGCACCCTACTGGCAACTACTTTTTCCACCACGTCCAAAATCCAATTGGTACGTGTGAGTGGGATCCTGGGTGCTGGTTGGTCTCATGTTTGGCGCCAAACAATTCGAGGCCCAACGCATCGAAGAATCGGGGCGATCCGGGCCGATCCCGACGCGCCTGTCGGGAGGGCCCCAGCTCCCCCACCATGCGCAGCTGCTCCTGGAGTTTCGGGATCCGCGGAGCGGAGCCGCGGATCGCCCATGCCCATGCGGGTTGGTTTCCTTACCCCTTAAAATTCCAAGGTCTGGGGAAGTTCATCTTTTACAGACATACAGCCCATGTTACCCAAAAAGTTGAAAAGTTGTGTTTTTAAGAGGTAAGTTTCCCTAAACCAAGGGGTGCCCTCGAGAAAGGAGAGATCCGAAACCTCACTTGAGTCCAGCGCCCTGGTCCTAACCACTGCTTTTGGGTTAGCACCCCGGAAAAGCGTGCGAATCCCTGGACACAGGGAGCCTGAGTTTCACCAATTGAAAATGAAGGGACCCCCTTTTTGGGACCCCCCCCCTGTTAAATCAAGACCTGGTATGTTGTGAAGCTTGTCTTCTTCGGCCCTCCGCCGGATTTCTGTTGAGTCCCAGCCAACCATCGCAAATCCGAAGGGTTGATATCATTGATATCCCTTCGGGCGATTGGAAGTTCAAATCCAGTGGTTCGGATCCCACGACCCAATGATTCCAGTTCCCTGTGTAACCAAGGGAACAACTCGATATGAAAGATGGAACAATGGCTGGAATCAACTAAAATTTACTGGGGTAACTGGGATCCGCTGTAATTGGAACCACCTCGTGTTCAGCACCAAAAGGAAAATGGCTGCTCAACTGGGATCCCTTCAGTTGCTTAAGTTCCCTGGGGGAAAAAACAAAAACATTTCGAGAAATAGATTCCCTTTCAAGCCGACAGGGGAAACAACAAATGTTCTTAAGCAAATGGAAGTACCCAACGGGGTTTTCTTTGATTCCCTCACATTCGGCTCGCATCGCTTTGTTCGATATCCGGCATGTGTTCGGGCGCCTGGTAAGGCTCCGCGTGCCAGGAGGAGTACTCTGCAGTATCCCGCGGCGGGCCCAGCACCTGCAACTTTTCAACAGATCTACCCCCCAAAAGAGTCACCCAATGTGGCCTTTCTCAAACTGCATGCTCATCCGATTTTGGCCCTAGGCCCAGGCAAGTCTGCTTTAGAGATACCGGATCTCGGCCAAAACGAACCAGCAGAAAACCGTGGCTCATCCCTTGCGTCACAACGCTCAAGGGCCAAAAATGTCCCACACATGTACCCATGCAGTTACCACCCTATGGGTGGCTGGGGCATTCTGAAAGAAACAGTTGGAGCTCTTTTAAACCGACAACTTGAGATCCTACGTGAGAATTCTATTCCATGTTCAAGGCTCCGGGTCGCCCAGTCGACTTGATGAAGTCGTCGCCTTTGGCTTGAAGGCGGTTTACTGAAAGGGTGGCTTGCAAGCTTTGACAAAGAAGTTCGAAAGGGTCCGCGTACCCCACAACTTGGGGGATACCACGTCCAGACCTCCAGAAATCCCATGAACAACAACAACAACAACACCACTCTTTTCGATGTGATTTTTCCACCATGTCCAAAATCCGCTTAACCAAAATGCCGTTCTTGGGACCTGCGTGCTGGTTGTTGGCAGTTGACAGTAAGACGAGACCTCCCCATCGGCACCCGCCGTGAAGGTCCGGCCTTTGGCAGTTGCCCCACCTCGGGGAAGGCCTGGCGCGATAAAAATGGGCGGAAGGCCCGTGACCCGTGGGACCCAGGTGTTTTCGGAAGAGATATGCTGATTCTGGCGCCAAACAGGGCACAAGCTGTTGTCCCCCAACCCGAAGCAAAAAAAAAAGAAAAGCCATCCAACGCCCCCCCCCCCCAAAGAGAATAGGAAACAAATCAATGGGTGATGGGTGATTTCAAGGTCATTCTTGTGCCCGGACCTGAAAAGAGGTCGAGTGCCTCAGTTTCAGACGCCCAGCAGAAGGCCTGCTGCTTGTCGTTCAGGTATGCGTCCCGGACCACAGCAGGTGCATCCTGCGGCGAAGTGTTCCATGTTCGGAGCAAACAGGAACATGTCGCAAAAATACTGAGAATTCTCGGAAATTCATCAATACCCATTCGCTAGAGAGTGTCGCAAAAAGGATGAGCTTCCAAGGAAGCTTGTCAATACTCATTACAAGAATAGTGTCGCACATGAGTGACATTGCCTACAAACTAATCAATACTCATTCGAAACAAAAAACAATATTGCACAAAGGATGATCTTCCAGGGACGTTTATCAATTTAATACTCATTCGCAAAAGTGTCGCTGAAAAAGGACGATATTCAAGGGACATTTGTCAATACTCATTCGACAAAAAGTCCCCTAAACAAAAAGATGTTCATCCTGCGGCGAAGTGTTCTATGTTCAGAGCAAACAGGAATATGTCGCAAACATACTGAGAATTCTTGGGAATTCATCAATACCCATTCGAAGAGAGTGTCGCAAAAAGGATGAGCTTCCAAGAAAACATATCAATACTCATTAAAAGAATAGTGTCGCACATGAGTGACATTGCCTACAAACTAATCAATACTCATTCGAAACAAAGAACTATATTGCACGAAGGATGATCTTCCAGGGACGTTTATCAATTTAATACTCATTCGCAAAAGTGTTGCTTAAAAAGGACGATATTCAAGGGGCATTTATCAATACTCATTCGACAAAAAGTCCCCTAAACAAAAAGATGATATTCCAGGGAAATTTCATCAATACTCATTCGAACAAGTGTCGCAACAAGGATGAGGTTCCAGGAAATCTCATCAATACTCATTCAGCAGGCGTCGACAAAAGGATGACTTTCCGATTCATCAATGCTAATTCAAACAGGTGTCGCAAAACAGGATGACATTCCAAGGAAGCTAACAAATACTCATTCCAAAAAAGATGGCATTCTGAAGACATTCCTCAATACGAATTCAAGACGTTGTAGCAAAGAGCATGAGATTCCAGGAAAGTTGATTGATACTCATTGAAACAGGTGTCGCAGAAGAACGACATTCCCGGGGAATTCTTCAATTGTCAGTCACATAGGTGTTGCAAACGGATGACGTTCCAGGCAAACAGTTCAACGTTGCAGGATAAAAAAAAGGATGACATCTCCAGGAAATTCATCAGTGAAGTGGGGAAACAAATATGACATTCCAGAGAGGTTCATGAATGCTCGTTCAAACCATCGCATACGCGAGCCAAGGACATCCTGCGGGTGCCAAGGACCGTTTGGAGGTGCGGAGATAGCTTCCCGTCCCTCGAAAACCAGGGCTTCAGATCCTCAAGCCAATCCAAAACCTGAGAAATGGCATAGATGGCATTAGAGAAAAATGAACCACAATGGACATGCTCTTTTTCTTGAGGATCCCCTCCCCTGTTGTTTTCTTGTTGGATGCGACAAGGAAAGCCATCCGAAATCCGAGTTTCTCTATTTGGTGGTATGGCTGTGGGTCAAAAATAGGTACCCACATTTTGGAACCCTGATAAGTTGAACCAAGGACCAAAACCTTCGGTCCCCTGGCGGTTTAATTTTGACCCGTATGATTTCTCTAGCCATGACCCTCGAGGCGACTCGAGTCCTTCAAGGTGGCCCTGAGGTCGCGGAGGTACTGCTGCTTGTGGTCTCCGTACACAGAAGCGCTCTCCTCGGAGAGAGCTTCAACCCAGTGGCCCGGCAGATGGGCCCCTTTGCTTTTTTGGGGGATGGTTTGAAGGGAACCCGAACCGGGGGGGGGGGGGGGAAATTGGGCTGTGTGTTTTTCTTGTTTTGGGCGAAAGGTACCCTTTCCAGGAGTCGGGCAGAAAAAACCAGACATGCGCAAGGTACCATAGTTTCGATGACTTGCTTGGGATTGAGGAGTGAAGCAAGGCCCAGACGACAGGAACCAGTCTTTTGACCATGGCACATATTACATGGGCGTGTCTTTGTCGAGGGCTTGCGGGTTGATACCGGAAACCACGCATTTCAGGGAGGGGGCTTCCAAGGGATGCCTCTGTGAGATTAGCTGGACATGCATGTCTGGTTGAAGGGTGCGAAGAGCAAAGGGAAGCCAAAAGAAAACCATGAGATTGCTGGTTGACTCCAATTGGTATCCCAGAAAGTCAGATTCCCCAGGACCGTTTTCTCTCCAAACAACCCAAATCCCAAAGATGATCAAGTCGGATTTTCTGGAATGTCCTACACTGACTCAATTCAGAGTCTCAGCTTACCTCAGGCAAGGGAACCACACTTCTAGTATCCTACAATGTTCTGAACTGTTCCTAGGACCCCACAACCACCCGGTCACCCGACCCCATCAACAAAAAAACAATTAAGGGCTTGCTTTTTAAGCAATACTAAAATTGATCTTTGCATCATTTGTAGCTCTTGTGTGCTCTTAGGTGACCTGCGCGCACACAAAACGATAGCCTCCAACAACTCTAACTGACGCTGGTTCCGCACCTGTTTGTCTGCTAGGCCTCATTTCGGCGCCCTCCCCCCTCCCATGAGGTGTGGTCTTCCAATCTCGAATCTCAACTCGCTGGAGAACCTCACTTGGCCCTTCAATGACACCTGGCCACCAAAATCGGAAAGAAGCCTAGTGGGCCTTCCTAGCCACGAGAGCTGGCAATGCTGAGGCTCATTCATCTGAAACTCATGAAATTCCAAATCAGCACAAAAAGGAAACCAAATTCGAAGCCAAGGACACCAAAGGGAAACCCACCATCTTCAGGGTCCCCAGATTTCACACATCCCTTAGGCCACCAAACCTCCAAACCTTTTATTTGCCACAACCCCAACAAGTGACTAACTTCCAGAAACTCAGGGAGTGAGTAGGACTTCATAGGGTTCCATAAGTCTCCCACCAAACACCTCGACTCAGGGGGGTCGACAAAGCGGTGCCTCCACCACGTAGTTCATGAGCTTCGCTCGCCTTGCCATCTTCCTGCGGGATTTTTCTTGTTGCCCCTGGATCTCCCCTCATTCCAAGAGACACGCACCTGCCGTGCGTGGAGGATTCGTGAATGGGTTGCTTTGGGGCAGGGAGTGTCTGAACTCCATGTTCTTCACAAAAGGAGACATGGAATGGAGCCATAAATGCAAAATCACTTGTCTTTGTCAAGGAGGTTTTATGTAGTTATCGTTTTTGGTGGGGGCCCTATCGTTTTACAGCCTTTTTGCGCATGTGTCGCGCCACGCTGGTTTTGAGCATCCGACACGCCAAGTTGACCGTTCTGCGGGACAATGCGCCTTTGTTATACAAGTCCAGTACGCGAAGTACACTTCCGCAGCTCCAGCTCAAATATCGCGACTTTGTGATGCAAGTGTAGAATGCGAAGAGTACTTCGCAGCTCCAGCTCAAATATCGCGACTTTGTGATGCAAGTGTAGAATGCGAAGAGTACTTCGCAGCCCCAGCTCAAATATCGCGACTTTGTGATGCAAGTGTAGAATGCGAAGAGTACTTCGCAGCTCCAGCTCAAATATCGCGACTTTGTGATGCAAGTGTAGAATGCGAAGAGTACTTCGCAGCTCCAGCTCGAGAGTACATTTGCTTCCACGTTCCTGTTTCCTGCTGCTGTCTTGCCCAGAAATACGCAAGCGCGGCAAACGTTCATCACAAACCATGTTATCGTTTTTGGTGGGGGCCCTATCGTTTTGCGAGGCTTTCTGCAAAGTTATGCTGCAACAAACCCCGCTTTACTAAAGTGATCTACGCATATTTTGACCGTGACTCAAATGAAATTTGAGGGGTCACAGTAGGTATGTGTATCCCGAGACACTTTCAACCCTGATGTTGATTGCGTTGCAACTCCTGTGTCGTCTTTGGGTGCCCTCCCACTCACTCGCAAACCGTATTCCTCAGACCTTCCGGTGGGTTTCATGTTGGCTACGCCTTTAACCCCACAGACCTCATGTACATAGCATCTAACAAAACCCTCATCTCTTGAGAAGTCTTCCTTTTGAAGCAAACCCTTTTTGGATTCCATGATCAGTTGTTGGGGAGCAAAGCAAGGGCAACATGCAACACATCGGCGATTTAGCAAAAGGATCCGTTTTTCATGGTGTCTGCTTTGAATGTACCAGCAATTTCCATATAACCATCAGGAGAAACAAACATCGCTCATTCAGCAAATGGTGGGTGAGTCTTCTTCACCGTGCCCTGTTTGGCAGGGAATCAAATGAAAGCCAAACGGAAACGGCCTCTTTGCGCGGTGCCGGTTCCATATTATCTCAGTTGGAAACATACCCAAATAGGGCCTATTCGACCGCCCTCGCACACGCTTTTACTGGGCACATCAACCAACCCTCTTTAGAGCTCGCTGACCGCGTTAGAACATATTTCACAAATACCGTTGAGTGCTGGTTCTGCAAGAACGGTTGTTAGGTTCCAGAATGGCGAAACCAACACAATGTATTTACGTAAGCGTTGCTATAGTCCTCACTGAAGCAGGCAGTAGAAACAACCTACCTGGAGTCTCCATGACCCTTACAAAATGGGTCCATGACCCCATTATTTTGGGTAACCTCATTCTTTAAGGGTCATGGAGACTCCAGGTACAAGTTGGCCAATCAGATCCAATCCATTGCTTCCATTTGCTTTTTCTCCCCCTGGAAAAAATAAACATATTTCCAGTAGTAATTAATAGATTCCCATTAAAACCAACAAGGGAAAATAATAATAAAACAACAAAAAACAAAAAAACACTTAAGCTGAAGAGAAGGTTGGTTCATTTTCTGTCGCCTCTGGCTGGGCGGCAGCAGCTGCCGACCCGGCTCTGGCCTGGGATCCGACGCTTTCGAGGCGAAAGCGACGCTTCGGGGGCGGGCCGTTTTCGGATCTTTCCGCTAAAAGTGAAATGGGTTAAATGGAAACTGAAATGGGTTTAAGTGAAATGGGTTAAATGGGTTAAAGTGGAATGGGTTTCTAACTTTTAGTGGGTTAAATGGAAACTACCACTAAACACTGAAATGCCAAAAGGCAAAAGGGGTGCCTGGGATCTACCAAGGAAAAGGTGGTTTCAGGTGAGCTTAGGGGCTAGGTCCCCATTCCTGCGAGAACCAGGGCTCCAAGCCCCCAAACCACCACTCCAAACCAAGGGAGGGGTACCTGACTCAAGCCGTGTCGAAGCCCAAAAGGAGGGAGGCGCAATGAAGGACAAGAAAGCCCGGTGCGGATCAGGAACGTCCCGCCCGGGCAACTGCAACGTCAATAAGGAATGAAGCTCGCTGCAAACCTATCTACAGCAAACAATGATGTTCTTCTTTGCTTGCATGAATCAAGCCAACCCGGAATACACAGAATCTTGGCAACTCAACCAGCCTGGAATCATGGGCCTTCCTTACCGAACCTTCAAGAGCACTGAATGCAAATTGGTAAGGCCTCAGCTGCACCCCCCAATCATTACCTGAACACAGTCTCCACGCAGATAGAGCCCTAATTACTCCCAGCAATGATTAGCCTCTTTTCATGTTTGGTGCCCAGTCAATCTGGGAAACAAAACACAAAGCCTCTTGACTCCGGCCCCCAACCCTCCAGGTTCTTGGAACCTTCTTAGGCGTTCAAACGAAAGGCTCTCATCGAATTCTGGTAAGGCATACAGGTCCCAGTCTCCGTCAAATAACCCTTACACCAAAAGGCGGGATCCCTATGATATACTTTAAAAAGACAAACAGTGGTAAAATCCATACTTTAAAACAACAACTACCATATTGTTTCCCTTGGTGCAGAAGACAGATTCCCTAACCCCGTGCCGTTCTCTGACCAAATCCCCCTAGCGACTTCCCCATTTCTCGGGATGTGATTTCACGTAGCTGGCTTTCATGATTGATGTCTATCGTGGGCGGCAGACTCAATCATTCCCTCAGATGCCCGGTGGCCATGGGAAAAAAAAGGCCACCTTTTTTGGCTGGTTGAGCCCCAGCAAAACCCTTCACCCCAAAAGCGGGAAAATGGGCGCTGCTGGGCCACTGGGCTCCCGAATCAATGGCTGGGGCGGAAAAGTGAGTTAAGAGACTGCTCTGATCGAAGTCTGAGAATCCGAGACCCGGGGTTTCTAGAGTGGGAGGGGATGATTCTCGCTCAAGAGATCGGAGCCCGCTTGGGAAGTGAGATCATGCGTGCAACTTGGTGCTTCATTTCTGTGCGAATTGGGGATTCGACAAATCCCCTACCCCCAAAAGCCGGAAATGTGGAGAGACCTGCACCCACCTAACTTGCAACTGCGACTGCTTTTTCAACCATTCTGCAAATGCTACCATATCTCCAGAATCTGCAAACGGGGTTCCCAAGTGAAACACCTTTTTTATGGTGAGGTCGCACCCCCAGATCGGTGAGCTCTGCCATAGGCAGCGCCATGCAACCCATTTTCCCCTTGGTACGGATTCCCAAAACGCAGCGCCTGGGGGGGAGGTGGTGCTGAGAGGGTCGGGGCCCGGAAATCCACCCGGCTGCGAGGCCCGAGGCTGCGGCTCGTTTTGCGTCAGGCTGGCGGGCTCCTGGCAGACTGTTGTTTTTCTTTTCTTTTTTTGAGGAGTGCTTTGCTTGGGTTGCAGAAACGGCCCCTCTGCACAAAAAGTGTTAGCTTGTGGGTCTCCCTTTGAACATATAAACATGTGTCAAACAAATGTTACCCTTCCTCCCACTTACACAGCATGTGTGGGAACCTGTAAGATCGATTTCCTCCAGGGACCATTTCCGTGTCAGGTACCATGGCAACGTGGCAGGGAGGGTCAAAGATCCAGTACTAACTGGCCATCACGTTTATGCCCTGCGACCTGGAAGCGCCATAACTTCCGTCCAAGGGGGCCATCCCTATGGTTGTGGACCCCCTCAGTATACATTAACCTCCACTTGCTTCAGGCCCCAAAAAGGGGCAAACAACAACAAATAGTGGTAGACTCCCTTTCAAACCAAGAGGAACAAATAACGCACCTTCTTGAGCAAATGGAAGTCAACTAGGCATTCAACTAGGGCATGGGGGTTGTCCTTTTGCCGCCTTTCCCAAAGCCTCTGAGGGCGGAGGGGGCAGTAGGTAGCTTTGAACTCGCCATACGACCTCCAGACGGTGGTGCATTGTCTGCAGGTGAGCTCCTCCTCAATTCTACTTAAGTGGAGTGGGGGCCGGTGGGGATCTTCCAGATATGATTGAATCAAGCTTTGGTCTCATAAGGACTCTGTCTTGGAGTAGCAGCACTTGCCAAAAGCTCTGCCGAGTTTTCAGTGTGACCCACCAAACAAAGAGGGATTTAGACTGCGATCTGTCTCTGTTAGAGTTCCCAACCTGTTGAGATCAACTCTGCCTCCCGAGAAAGACATATGCTCCCGAAAAAGACTTCTGAACATGACAAACATGCGCAGACAAGCAACGATTTGGCCGACTCTGTTGTTTTTGTGAGCCATGGACGGATTGTGTGGGTCCAAAAAATAACCCGCACCCCAAAACAAGTACTGGCGCGAGGTCAACCAAGCCTCCTTTGGGTCTGATTTGAACCCAAGTCCCTCGTTCTCACCCCGCCTGCACGGCTTCCAGCGGCTCCTGACTGACCCAGGATGAATCAACCTGCCCTGTGCATGGGTGAAATCCTGCGTAGATGAACCCCTAATACCGGGAACAAAAGCACCAATCAGCTTCGGGATTTTGTCCATCCACAGAAATGCATTCCTACCCCAAAAAAGGAGACTTCGGCAAGACGGAGTGCCGGGAATACGCCCGACGGCTCAGACTTCCCCAAAGCAAAGATCCGCCCCGATCAAAACACCCCGAGCCCGAAGCCCGAGTGGCCTCCTCGGCCTCGTCAAGGTCCTGACGCAGGCGATGAGCGGGGAGGCTCAAGAGGTGTGTTGAAGGCCTCGATTGGATTTCAGGGCCAGGAAATCATGAGGTAAAGCATATGTCATAAGGTCCAGGACAGTTTTATAAAAGGAGTACTACTATATATATATATACATAAGACTGTTTTACCGTGGCAGTTGCTCGTTCTGTGGCAACTAGCCAGCCAAAGGTGGCCTTAACTCTTGGCGTCCTCCCCCTGGGTATGTGTGTATGTCTTTTTGGGGTTGGTGCTCCGTTTTAGACAAGTTTGAAGGGGACGCCAAAAGCAAACCCACCATTTTACGCATTTTAGTGGGTCCCCTTATATCCCCCAACAAATGGATTGGGGCAGTAGTTCTTGCATGGTTCCTAGTTCCTTTTTTCTAAAATGGAGTGCGCGTGCATACTAACAACAATGCCCCGGCGCCTCTGCCTCCACTTCCGCGATTTCCGCCATGGCTGCTTGCACCTCCGCCGGCCGTGCTTGCTTGCGCGCCGCCTGGCGGTTCGCTTGGGTGAAAGTAGATGCCACACTTGCCTCAGTAAGCAAAGAGGAGGATTGACACAAACCACTAATCCCAAAAATGGCGTGAGGTTGAGCCATCAGTCAACTGAAAAAAAGGTCAAGTCAACAGTCAACAGGTTCCCCAAACAGCTATCGGAAACAGGGCCTGGTGCCCCTTGTCTGGGTGGGTAATTGGGTTCCCCCCCGCCCCACCCCTGGCGCCTGAGAATCAGATTCCTCAAACCCAACAGGGGACCAAACAAATTGTCAGTTGCTTGCTTCCTTCTGGAGTTCTGAACTTCCAAAACCATCCAATCATAATCAATTTGAATCCCTCAACAGTTCAGCTCTATTCATACATGGGTGTCCTTTTGGAAAAATCGACAGGTTTCCCTGGTAAATGGAATAAAACCAATCCAAACCATGGAACCCATCATTTCCAACCAAACTAACCGCGGACACCCATGGATTCATCCAAAATCGCCTTTCGAAGGCCCAAAGGCAGGGTTACCTTTCGTGGTTGGTGATGCTGGCCAGTTCCTATATGTATACATATACATACATATATACATATACATACATACATGGGCGGCCGTCTTTTTTGAGAGTACCCTTTTTGGGGTTGGTTTGAAACAGAGGAAAACCACCATCTTGGGGTCCCGTGAAACAAGACTCACCCTCAGAGGAACACCACGATGTTGAGACTCACCCACATGTATTTGCATTGAAACCAGGGTGCCTAGGGTTTGCCCGGCCCGCGTGAGCAACGGTGCCACTACAAACTCATGCAATGACCAATCACGCTGAAAACTGCAAGAGAACACTCGTCTATGTTGGAGACCTGGAACAAGAGTGGGTGCTGGGTGAAATATTACGGCATCCTTAAACGTACAACTTGGCTAACCTATGAAACCCTAACCTTCTTCCCTTCAAAGGGTCAGGAAATTGTTATGCCCGTTTTGCCAACGCCTTGACGTTTCTCGGGTACCATGCGGATCCGGCGTGTTCCACATCCAACCAGTTGTTGCCCTCGGATTGACCACTTAACGCAATTAAGATATTTAAATTGATACTAAGAACACAGCTTCCGACCGTTGCGCATTTCGGTACACTCTAGAAACGGTCGGTGGGAATAAATCCCTATGCAAACAATGTCCGCCAAAGAGTCCAACCAAGTAAAAAACATACCCAAATGCTGACTTAGCTGGTCTGGAAGGAATCACGAAGTTGCTAGCTTTACCCCTGCAACCCGCCAAGTAACCCTGCGCAAATTAAACTCCAGTCAGATTGCAACCTCCACATCTCTAGTTGGCAGTGGGCACGAAGGACCCTTTTACTCCTTTGAACACCGCACCCCCAGTGAACATCCCAATCCCAACTAAATTAGACTAAACTGGCTGGGTGGTGCACCTACCCCAAAATGCTACCACTGGTTTTGACCCACAGCCATTTGATCCTTCAGGACGACCAAGGAAAAGGATCACTTGAGGTCTGGAAAAAAATCAGCTCCCCCCACTGACAAGCACATGGTACGGGGGGGTCGAACCCACTTGGCGCTCCGCTTAAAACATGCCCAAGGAGCTGAGGGAGACGACCGCGCCTTGCCTCACGGGGGCCCGCGCAATGCGGTGGAGAGAGCGAGAGCGGAACGGGGCGGGTTCCGCTGGCCGCTTTCCCAAGTTGAGAGTTGCCTTGTGGCTTCCTTTGACCCCCCAAACCCCTCAGGATACCCTCAAAAAGCGACAGGCCTAACGGAACGCTTCCTAGGTCCGCCAGATTTGAGAGGTTAGCATAAGGGTACCCGATTTAATTTTATGTAGTCTATTTTAGTAGGGGAACCCTCCCCCCAAGAAAGGGCAAAAGGGCACTACTGGGAGACCTAGTGTTCTGCGCTTGCTACGCGTCGATGGGCTGCTATATTAATATGTTAGTCTTGCCGAAATTGTGTATCCGCCAGCTCTTGTTTTTGTCCAGCATGTGTCAGCAGCTTCCCAACAAGTGACCGGTTCTTGAGTGAGGGAAATCCTTCGCTTTCTGCCCAATGCAAACCCAGGCTTAGTACCCCCCCTATTCAAGCACCAGGTCTTCCTTGAAAGTTTTCTTCCAATACTCATTTCAATTGAAACAAAACAACCTGCCTTAGCACCCCCCCCAATTACACAAAAAAGGTTGTCGACCCCCCCCCCTTTGCTAAGTCACGCTTCTCCCAGACCACCTGGAACAGGTGGCTTTCATTCAATTTAGAATTGGTACGGCTTCAGAGCAAACACTGGCAACTGCCAGCCCATTTCACCAAGGCTATGTCATCGAAGGCAAACAAACGATCTATTCGCGAGCAGAGCAAGTCCTAAGACCTTGCAGCCCCTTGCTCCACAGTTGAACGAGACCTCGCGCAAGATAAGAAGAGCACTCCAACCTTGATGATGATTTAGCGCAACCTCAGCTGAGCTTGCTGTAATCTGCGCCGATCAAATGGAGAAGGACGGACGGAGTGGATCGGCCAAACAAGTCTTAACTAAAATAACCCTCCCACAAATGGTAGAGCGTCCAGAAACTGCTGACGTGAGAACAACCTTCTTCTGGCTTCTGCACCTCAAAGAATCCGGAAACCAACATGGGATCTTGATAAAAAGATTGGTGCCACAATGAGAAAACCAAGTTCGCTCGGGTCGATGAGTTCCTTCACTTTAACCCTGCAAAGGGGATCGAGCCTGACCATTCAATTGGAAATTCCGGGAAAGCACGACACCTGGAAATGAGAAACCCAAAAGAAACCAAGCCTTTGCAGCCGTGCGCCCATGGCGGCCTCGTTTGGATCGCGTTTTCTTGGTCTCCTTGGGGACTTCGGCGACCTGCGTTGTCTGAGGCGCAGTTTGAGACCCAAACAGACCCGGGAGTTTCTCGAAGTTGGCACATGTGAGTCACAATCAAAACCCGGTATTAAAATGGTCTACCCAGAACCATGTAAAGAATTAAGGATGCGGCCGCAACTGTTTATGGTTGGGATTGTCCCTTACTAACCTTCATTTACCCGGGTTTTCATTGTGGCTCATGTGGTGAGTGCTTCCGGATGCCTAAGCATTTGATGATGTGATTTCAAGATTGGCTGCTCAAACAACCTCATTTGCCAGGCTTGCAGGTGTTTCCCAAATTGAGTCGACTTTGCGTTGGTTGTTTCTGTACATGGAAACCGACGGCATACCAATCCATTTTCGGGGTCCATTTAACCAGTATCGGCTTCCCTCTAATTGGTGGTATGGATCGGTGGCTTGGTGGTTTTTCCGAAGGGGTTTCCGATGTACCTCTACAAGAAGCAGGGACCCGTTCAAATCCAATTAAGGGTTGCCTGACAGCAGGTAAAACAATCAATGAGTCCCTGCACTAGCGGGTTCCTTTGCGCATTTCATGGCAGATGGTAGGCCTTTTGTAGGAATCGGAGCCCCCCCAAAAAAAGCGAGCGACTCTGTTCCTTTTGGTTCCCGGTAAATTACACAAAACAAAAGGTACCAACTCCAAAAAGACCGAGCCAAGTGTTGTTCCTTCTTGGATGGTCCATAGGGAACCCAAAAAGAAAACCCGAGTCAACGCCCACCCAAAACCCAGTGTAAAGAATAAACAGAGCGGATACTTGGGTGGTCGGCCAAGTTAGTAAGAGGTTAGCCACTTGGGGTAAAACGGTAAAGCCCCTTGATAACAAGGTCTACTCCACATACGGGCCTGTAAGTGGGCTATAACTTATAACCTAGCCATCTCAAAAAGGCCTCGTTTTGAGATCCAACACCTAAACCAATGGAGGTCCGGTTCGACCCCTTCAAGAGAGGGTCCAATGATGCTTCGGGAGCACTGGCCGGGTCACCGCCTTTCCGCCTTCCAGCCAGCGAAACGTGGTTCAAATCATTTGAATGACAAGGATGGCTTCACGCGAAACGGGAAGAACACACTTGAAGGGTCCCTTGTTTCTCACTTCCTGAGTAGTTGCAGATTAGTGGAAAATAAGCACTTTGCCAAAAGGTAAAGGTTAAAAATCCAACCCAACAATGTTGACCCTATTAATCAACTCCAGTATATTAATAGGGGGGTGTTTCTCGGTTTAGTGGGGAATCAGACGCCCCTTGGGGTCAACATTATCGTTCAAGGTGCGCATGCGGGGGGCCAATGCCGAGCAAAAGGGCACAGGGCTTTTTCCCCCCCAAGGCGGCCTCCGCCTCAAGCTTCTCCTGGACACCTGCGCTTCGGCACGCGAGATTTGAGGTGCCACCAGGGTTCCTAGAAAAGGTGAGACCAACGCCAACTTGTTTGGGCTGAACCAATTTTCGGGTTGAATCTAACATGGTTGTTGTTTGCTGTCGTTGTTTGTATTTGGGGGAGGGGGGTTGGGGTTGACCCTTTTTAGGGTCGACCTGTTGTTGCAGTGTTGCAGCGTGAAGCATCTTTAGGGTTGACCAATGTTAGTGTGAGACACAGAGGGGTAAGGGCAAAATCCACTGAATGGGATGCTTTTTGCAGTACAACGAGCGTCCAAAACACTGGCCCTTTTATACAAGCACCAAGCGGAAGCTCACTCTTTGGCCCGCGCTCGATTCTCAATCCCGAGGCCTTCTTGGGACCCATCCGCGCGATCTACGGGGGCGTTACCGGATGGGTCCTTTGGTACCCTTGGACCGGAGGTCCAAGGTTCACAGGGGTCGTTGGTCCTTAGAATGTACCAAGGTACCTGAAGCACCTCAGTTTAGTACCTCCTCTTGTGGTACCTCCTTTGGTCTTTTGGTTCCTCTTTTGGTTCCTCTTTTGGTTCAAAGGAGTCTTTTGGACCCTGTGGGTTTCGCCCCTGTAATATGGCCCCTTCGATCCCGCCGATTTTCTGCCTACGGTTTTGCTGCGCACCTGCGTTCCATCCTGTTTCGCCCTCTGTTGGCGGGAGCTCATCACCCCGATTTTGAGGTTGAGAACGTTCAAATTCCAAAAACAACTACAGCGCACGGAAGGATTGCTGCCACTTGCACATTCAGTTGTTTCCTATATGGGTTTGTCCAAAGCTCTAATCGTGTGGCTTCTTGGTAAACCAACCCCAAAACAGACCCCCAAAAAACAGTCATATCATAGGAACACCACGGCTTTGCCTAACAACACAAACTACATACATGCACATTTTTGTAGGTATATGTATGTAGATTATATATATATATATATATATATAATGTATATATTTGTTTTCAGACACATTGCAAAGCCCTGGCCCCCAGCCACCCAGCCTTCCGCCTCAGGGGCCTCATGCAAAAAAGTGCCAACCGCATCCCACAAACGGCGGAGTCCCCAACCCGCATCCTCTGCCCATTGTCCCCCGGTTCCCCCGAAGCTAAGACCCTAAGGCCTTGCTAACGGCATCGCTGAAGAAAACCGTTGGGAATGGGGCTGCGAGGATTCATGATTCTGTTCAGGGGTCTTCATGGGGCCCGGAATCGCTGAACGATGCTTAGCATGCCCGCTTGAATTACGTTTCGCAGCAACGAAAACGGTCAGATCAGGTGAATTTGGTTTGGACTGAGAAGTCCTGCCAACAACGCTAGAAAACAAACCAGAATCAAGGGCCGTCCAAGTACCCTTTGCGGAGGGTGTTGAAGGTTTCACAGGGCGAAATGGGGGGTGTGTTTGATGAAATCAACATTTGGGGGGTTGGATTCGGATCGAAATAGGGGAGGCGGATCAAAGTTTGAGCAAAGCTTAAAATTGGATCAACATCAGTGGGACCAACACAAATCACGATTGATGGGTGGTCTCATGGTGGTCAAAAATTGATCAACATCCGCACGAAATAGGCTAGGGGGAGACAACTGGATCAACGTTCGGGCGGGGGAATCCACATTTAAACACAAACTAATGTGGCGGGTCAAGTGTTGGTCTCAAGATTGGGGGGGATCAACATTCAAGGTCCTCCAGTAGAGGTTAGAATAAGGGTGCCCTTTTTTCTGTAGTCTATTTTAGTGTGGGAACCCTCCCCAAAAAAAACGGTAGAAGGGTACTGGGGGACCTAGACATTGGATCCAAATTGCAGGTTTTGAATGGGCCAAGGCTGGGCTGGCCATCGGATCAGAACCGGGGTACCCCGCGTCACGGCCTGGCAACTGGAGGGTCTGTCGGATCCGTTTTTCTAGGGGTAGCTTCCATTTCCATTCTGAACCCAGGCATCCGGATCTTTCCAAAAACCACCAAAAAAATATGGGGAAACAGCGACCGGTGGTTGAAAAGAACGATGGTTGAAAATAATGGGGAATCAACCCCCAGAGTTTTGGTGGAAAGAATGGACCAAAATTCCTGCTCATTTGCGATCCAACCAAAAACCCATCCCTGCCTTGCGTATCGACTGGATTTTCCCCATCGCCGGAACTCTGACATTTTCCACTGGCCCAAACCCATGGGCGAATGGAACCCGAAACGTGGATCTGGAAAGGGGTCGTGAAGACGCGAGAAACGAGTTCCAACTGCCAAGCTCAAATCTGCATTTCTCAAAATGGCCCAAAACAAATTGGTTGGCCATCAGCTAGCTCCAGCCACGCATGGATCATGGAGAGTCGGATCCCATGAGCACCCTTCAATTTGCTAGGCCCTCAACCTTTCGATGCCTCAGGTCGGGTTACCCCTGCCTTCGCGGACCTTTGGGAGTTCCCCAAAAGGAGCTAACATAATTTGTCTGAGAAGAAAAGTGCTGCTCAAATGGGAAACCATCCCCGGAACACCTGAACCACCAAATGAAAACGACCAAGCAGAAGGAAGCTGAAACGGGGTCCTGGAAGCTTCCATGAAACCTCCGCAAGGAGGCTCCTGCCTCTCTTGAGAACGGACCCATCCTGCCCTTTTCGAGCGGATAAGGAACGGGACCACTGTGTGGAGACAAGAGGAACCCGATAAAAAAAAAAGCTCAGGTGATACCCAACAGCATGCGGTGCTCTTTTTAGTGCCCGCACCACCCCGCAGCCCTCGCAAAACCTCGTGGAACCTTCATGGTCTGGAATCCTGGTGGAACCCTGGTGGAACCCTCGTGGAACCTTACCTCGGGGCCGCCCCGGACCACCCGGAGCCTATCTGGGCTGAGACCCCAAAGCTTTCAGCTGTTGGGGAAAAATCGCGAAACTTCGAATCCCCAGCAGCCACAAGGTCCCGACCTGTCAATGACGCGAAAGAGAGGCCAGTCGTCGGGGGACGTTGCGAGATGTCTGATTTGGATCTTCGAAAGACCGGCATCCACATCATTGCAAAGGGGATGGGTACGTACTTGCAATTGTGGGACTTCAACACTTTAGACATGGAGTACAAAGGGATCCAACTTTGGAACTGCCATGAAACGTGACTCCATGGAGTGCGTGGGTTTTGGGTCTTCCGAACGAGCAACTGGGCATCGGATGAATCACCATGGCGCATTGTTGAGGTGTGTTCCCCCGAGTCGGTTCCCTCGGGGCTGTGAGTTGTTCAATTCCAGGATATGTGTTGCACATGTTGGGTCTGCTTGCAGCGAACACGACCAGCATCAAACAGCCTCAAACCATCCTGCAGCAATGCCACTTGCGCCACGGACAGGGAACTCCGAAAGTCCGGTCCGCAGATCCGCGCGCGCCTTGCATCACCTCCAAGAGCTCCTTGGCCCGCGCCAAGATGCGTTGCGCCAGGAGGCCCTTGGGCCCACTTCGGGCCAGCGCCAGGGTCTTGCACACCGTCTTCCTCGGACGCGTCTCAAAGAAACTCGCGAACCGGCTTCTCGATCGCTTGGAACCGGCTCAATGGGAAAAGAAAAGAAACGGGCTTCGGGTCCCAACGTGCAACTGCTTCTTCAACCATGTCCCAATTCCCTCGGCACCGCAACCGAAAACCAGCTGTGGGGACCCGGGTGCTGGGAGCTGCAACTTAACAAAATGTGACGGGAGTCGGAAGCCAAAGCTCCAACATTTGCAAGCCGATTTGACGTAGCATCAACCGGACCTCCCGTCACACAAGCAAACATTTACCAACGCCTCTCGAAAATGCGAAGTTCAGATAAGTTCAGCTTAAAGGCCTTCCGGGTGCCGCAAAAAGCCGAAAGCCGGCAACTTGGATTCATGGAGTACCATTTTGAGTGAAACATTCAGCTTCACCCCCGCGCGCAACAACGAAACCTTAAAGTTAAAGCTAATTCTGTCATGTAACCAGATAGATTACCATTTCCAAACAAAGTTGAACACCACGTACCACGCCCATACCTCGATCGGTAACCCACACCTATCGAAGACCGGTCTCACCTAACGAAGACCGGTCTCACCTTCGACTCGCTGACTCAAATCTATAAGATTGAATTGACGTCTGAAGTATATTCACGCGAAATGGTCCCACCAATTTCAAGGATTGGATTTCTGTACCACTGTCGTTGGCGTTCCAACCACCTGGATCCTCGAACTATACGCATAAGCAAGGGAGTTCACCCGTCATGTTGAGGCAATACTCCCTTTTCAAGGGAAACCTGGAGTCTCCATGAGCCTACCATGAGGTCGATCATTACCCCGTGTTCCAAGGCTCATGGAAACTCCAGGTATCACGTTCGGATCCGAGTCGAGCCGAGGCGCAGATCGCTGAGGCTGTACTTCGCCTGCAAAGTGGCCTCCGCATCAGCCTTTTCCGCCAGCAGGCCCATCGCCTCGAAGCTCACTTCTACCGAATTCCCCGCCAAGAAACGGTGTCCAAAGGGGTGTCCTTTCGAATCCGTACCCAGAAAACTTGGATTTTGGGAACCATTAAACTTTGCTGTAACGACCACTCTGCGAAAAGTGTTTAACTTGTGTGTGTCCCCCATGCAAAGTCCCATCTGTTTCAACCAAAAGCTTCAGTCCAAAGCTCCAAATAGCCATGAAGACTTCCGTAGACCAATTTCCTTTGGCCCCCCTGGTCCCGGCAACTGCCTCGTGATAACGAACTGGCAAGTTGGGACCCGGCTGGCTGGGAATTACCCCTCATTCTTGGCTCAGGTTGAAACCAACAGGAACACCGTCGCTACCGCTTTGAGGGGTCCAAAAATCCAGCAGGCCTTGATGGCCTTGGCACTGGCGCTTTGCCGGTAGAGCTCGTCCTCCTTGTCCAAGGCCTCCTGCGGGATTTTTCGCGTCGATGCCTTGAGACCCTTGGACTGGCCTCCACCTGGAGAAACCCCCGGATCCAGGGGTGGAAGATCCAGCTAGGCTCTCCAAAAGCAAGGGGGTGACATCCATATCCGAACCAATGCAAACCACCAATTCAAGGCAACCTGGGTCACAATGCCCACGATTCAAGTTGGAAAATCCCGTGCAGCCACATGAGCTGCGATGTGTGATCCTTCCAAAGCGGGCAAAGTATCCACCGGACGAGACAGGCATCGCGGCCTAGCAGAAGGACAGGATTGACCCTCTCTTCCTGAGTGGATGGCCCAAAAAAAGTGCCAGCTTTCCGCTAAAATGGTCTTCCGAGCAAGTATCAGGTCCATGAGCCCAGGAAGCAAGCACCCGACCCTTTTTTTTGCCGCCAATCGGCCACCAAACCCAAAAAAAAACAGCCGGCGCCTGGATCTGCCGGACCAAGGTCGCAGCGTTGATGCCCCCACGCAAGCCCAAGTGCTCGCAAAGGCCCTTCAGACCTGGCCGCCTTTTTCCCCCGCCTCTTTGCCTGATGCGAACAAAAAGCTGTTTTGTTTCCGACAACCTTTGGTGTACAGACCCCCCTTGAAGAAAAAAACATTCCAGCTTGTTTCCAGTGCTCTCGGTTCATTTTTGGGTGCTATGATCCATTTTGCAAATAAGGGCGCTTAGTCCTAAATCAAAGAGGTCACTTAAGCAATTTAAAGGGCACTTAGACCCTTAGGCGCCCTCCCCATCAGATCCCTCCTCGGTCCGGGCAAATCGAGCCGCAGCGACACGTGAATGAGAATGACACTCGCAAATCGAGCCGCAGCGACACGCGAATGACACTCACGCACAGCGGACCGACACTAGCGCAAGTAACCTTTTCAACGGGTAAGTGACCTCGATTCGCACGCCCACTGACACTCAAAGGACCGCTTTGACACTCAAAACTCCATGTTCGGGCTTTCCGGGTCGGCCAATAACGGGTAGCTGTTCGATTTCAGAATCCCAACCCCTAGCAAGCCAAAAAGGGCACTTAGCAAACGAATCAAACCAGGCCCCCCCAATGGCCGGTAATTGGCGTCCCGGGTGAAGTGCCGGCAATTGACCAGCACTTGCTTAAAAATGGTTTTGTAGTCACATGTTTTTTTTTGCCATCATCAAAGTGCAGTGGAAAGTCACTTTTGTTGAAACGTCACTTCCGGATACTAGAGGGGATCCAATTGAGGGGTTGGGCTGGCATGTATGATCATTGCACGTGCAACGCGCGGGGGGGGAGGGGGGGCGACACGCTGGTGACACGCTCATATCCCAAAAAAGTGACCGTTCAACGTACATGTGCCGGCAATTGGCCACCCCCCGACACGCCGTGACACGCCGTGACACGCTCCTCAAGAACCCCTCCCAACCTCAAACTTGCCCTCCAAACCTCAAATTTGCTGCTCTCCCCTTTCCCCTGCAACCCCATTCCAAAGGACCCTGAAAGGTCACTTGTATCATTGCACAAATTGCACTAAGTACAGATGAGTGATAATTGATAGCAAAATGTTTTTGCAGTCACTTAGACATAAAGTGACATCGTTTTGCCCAAAATCGATGTGCCGGCAATTGGCCAGCCATTGGGGGGTGCTGGAAGGGATGGTTACTCCTCAGCTGGGGTATCCACGTTCCTTCTCTCTTGTCCGTTTCAACGCCGCCTCGGAGATGTTGCTGTTTTAATGCATGACGTCGCTATTCCCGAGGAGTGGATGGTGCCAATCATCAATAGTCAGGAGTTTGCATTTTTCGCCAGAGCTAGTACTCGCCTTTGCAGCGCTTGTTTTGGACACGCCTCATAAAGTAGTTCGTGATGGAAGTCAGGCGGCATGAGCCCATGTGCCCGCGTGTCTTGTCAGCAAGCAAAACCTGCATTGCGATCTTGCTTGCCACACTGCCAAGCACTTGGCGCAAAAGCGCTGGATGGCGCAGTCCTGGAATATTGTGTTCTTCCTCCTCCGCCGCAAAGGCCGCCCCCGCGCCAAGCATCCACAAGAAGACAATGAAGCCAACCATGATGACACTCAAGCAAAAAGCTAGCAGCTACTAGGCTTGATAGCAAAAATGCTTCCCCTTTGCTTCAAATGAGTGCTTAGCCTCAGAAGCTCATTTTTAAGGGTTTTATCAAAAACACAATGTTTTGTTCTGAAAACGCAATGTGTTTCAGAACATCGAGAAAAACACAATGTTTTAGTCAGGGTACATGTTTTACAGTTTCTTGAAGCCCTAGGTAGAACAAGGCAAACTTCCACCATCTGGCGTGATGTAGCAACGTAGTATTAGGAATGAGTATGAGGATTAATCTTAAAACAAACTTGACATTCAACGCTGTACATAGCACTGGTTGCCCATGATCCTGCAAAATTATCGATCTGGAGCGCCATGCCCTTGTAAGCAAAGGGGACGTTTCAACCAAAAAGGGATGGAGTTGCACCATCTGCTTTCATGCAACTCCCGCACAGGATCTTCGACGGGGCTCGGTTTTGAAAGCGGTGAGCACGTTGGTGCGGGTAGGGGGCTCGAGAAAAGAAGAGAGAAACCAGCAGGTGCGTCTATAGGAAGAAGCAGGCAACCCACCAAAACCAATTGTGCTACAAATTTATGTAGCCGTCTTGGGAAAAAGCACACACCACTTTTTTGGTGAGGCGAAGTAGGCCAAGCACATGTTGGGACATCCTGACGGGCTTGATATTCAATCAACCAATCCGGGAGAAGAGATTTGGCACGTCAACAAACAATGATCCAGTCGAGAGTCGAGGTCATAATATCACACGAGAGAATCGCCCTAGAGCTCCCAACTGAACATGAGATTGTTCAACTCTGGTCTGGTGAAACAAATCGGAATGGGTGCTTCATAAATGGAGTGCCCGTCAACAGGCTTCCTGCTCCAACTCCATCTCAAAATGCCAGCACCTCGCCAAGAAAATGGGTCTTGTCTTGAGGTACAGGAAAGCAAAAAGGACACCCTTGAGGCCATTTTGGGTCCTGCGTCCTCCAATTCCTCGAAAAAAAACAACAAAAAACCAACAAACAGGTGCCTCCCAATATTCCCTGGGAGGCTGGACTTTTCAAAACCGCGCCTATTTGGGTCTCCTGCTGCAACATTTCCAGGCGCGCGCCCGGCTCGGAGCGCCGCAGCTGCAGAAGCTGCGACGAAATCGCCGCCTCCGCCTGCGGCGAGGCTTCCAGCGATTGGAGTCCTTCCCCCCGTTTTTTTGTTCGCGCACGGTCAACATGTTGCGAAGGAGGGAAATTCAGGCCCTGGTCCGGAAATTTCGTCAGGATTCTTGAATAGATCCTAGCTTGATTTGTTGGAGTCCTTTGGGCCTGACTTTGGCTTCCGCAAAGGGAGGCTTCAGCTTGGGTTGAACCTGAGGTTGTCATCGTGAAGTCAAAAGAATGGCCCGTGTGGCCATTTGAAGACGGATCCCAGAAAGTACGGTCTGAGTAGTCTCTAGCCTACACGACTCTGGTTGCTTACCCTACGGCTCTCACAGAAGATTGGGCACTACCGGCTACCTCTTTAAATATCGCCAAGAGGAAACTCACCTTGAACATTGGCAACCGAAAGCTAGTGTTTAAACTACCTTGCACCCTGTATGCCAGCTTTCGTTCGGTCAAACCCCCTGTATTTCGCCATGTTTGCCCGTATGACCATTTGTGCGTATGCAACCCGAATTACAAACCATGCAGTATGTTGTCGACGCTTTTTGACCAAAGGCCGTATGACCAAAAAAGGGCCATTCTGGTCCCAGGAAATCAGGAGGATCATTTCTAATCTTTAGTCGATCTAGGTGGCGGGGGTCTTGGCAGCCCTCTGAAAATCAGCTGAGTTCTGACATGGTCCATTGGCATAAGTCTGGGAGGGGTGGTAGTGGTATCTCTTACAAGAGTCTTCAAACACACGCTAAAACGAACATGCGCTCGTGGAACACGGCACCGCTTCCTGTGAGACTTTGGATGGACGAAATCCTGCACCTAAGAAACCCTGGAAAGATGAACGAACAATGGCGTCCCATGGTTTCAAAGTGCTGCAATATTCTGTGCATGTACGGGGTTGTCACAATTCCATCAGTCTCTGATTCTGCGTTTTTTGCATGGAACTGGAGATTTGAACATTGCCGTTGGCCGTCGGCATGGAACATTCGAATCAATTGCGGGAACGTTAGTCGCACCTAGGAGAAATCAGACCGGGACAGAATCACTTGGTTCCCCAAGAGGACAAAGGACATGGGGAATGTGAGGTGTCTGCCGTCATCAGTTCCTCATCTTTTGCCAACTCCACAACATCAGTTGCCTCGGGTACATATTTAGTGAGCCTCAAAGCTTCAAAACCTGTTCAATACCCGGGCCGTCCCCAAGAATCACGGAAGCGGAACGGAGGCTTTCCCGAAAGTGGTCATGCAAATCCTGGCAGCTTTTATGATGGGAGCTTTTCAAAAGATATCAGTTGCGAGAAAGGGGTGCGTTGCAATGTCTGTTGTAATTACCAATTCCGTTTCCATGACTGCAGTGTAACAGGCAGGGCGCAAGTGCGGTGTTCCGCTCCCCCAAAGCAACCCCGAATGGAAAATGGTGTGACCCCCTTCACAGCCGCTTTTTAAGAGTCTCTTTTGTTGGGAACTAAAGGGACAGTCACTGTTTTGGGAGATCCCAAAAAAAAGACACACCCATATAAAGGTTCTATACACCAACTTCCCTTGCGGGTAGTTTGCCGGATTCTGCTCGGACCATCCTTCACGGTGCGTCGCGCCCGCATGGCAAGGCCTGTCGCAAGGATCTCACTGGAACCTCAAGGACAAAGAATCAAACGACCAAGTCTTGGTCATCTGAGGTACCCCTGCCTGAGTGCGTTGGCCGAAAAAATCCAAACTGTTTGTTTGCCACTATGACATGGTCGTCCCAAAAAGTTTAAAGTCCAGGAACTCAGGTTCTGAAGGTACACAGAGAATATGATGAATTCAGATCCTGTTTCATATTTGGTCTACCCCAAAATATCAAACACTTTTGGAGAACCCAGACGCGTTCCACCGGCTTGTCTTTTTGGAGGACGTTTCATAAAGTCGGTTTGCCCCGGGGTACATAGAGGGCAACGCCATGTTTAAGGACCAATCAGAAGATTCGTTACGCAAAAAGTGGTCTCCCTAGCGTGGGAGCATTTCTTGGCCCACTGAGGTACACAGAATATGTTCAGATCCGGTTGTGTGTTTAGACTACCCGAAAAATTGCCATAGTCTTGGAGGAAACCGGAGAGCAGATCTGGGCAACATATGGCTATAGACACCAAAGGGTGAGTCATACTGGAAGAAGTCGTCCAAACATGAGCCGAAAAAGGGTGGACATATCTGTGCCACATGGTCGGGACAAAGCTAGCACGTTGGCTTGTGGCTCGCAATGTTGACCCAGGTCTTGTAAACCTGGCAGGTTTACATGGGGGCTTTGCACCCAAAAGTGCGAGCCAGAGCCACATTAAGCCAAAGCTTATTATGGCGACAGTGGACAAGTGGACATGAGATCCGTGCAAAAGCCCAAGAGGCAAACAAAAATATCAGGGGTCCAAATCCAAGCAATCTGTTTGCCGGCAACTCGGCCATGCCATGTTGGCAATCTTCTCCCTGGCTTGCGGCGGCAAAATGGAGTGGAATGGAATGGATCACATATGAACCACGAACAGTTCTTGCTTCGGTTTTTTGCGTGTGTGACAATTTGCTTGCCCCCTCCTCAGACCAACGCTACCAATCATTTTGTGTCTCAGTGCGGTATGCAGGGCTTGCCCGCGGGAACACACCGAGACTGAAACATTGTCAGGCTGGCACCGGGATCCGGTTGAAATGCGCCGATGAACCCCACCCCCTGGATGAAAGGCCTCTGGTCATTTGAATGTATATGGGTATGGGTCATAATCAAACCACCTACTTCCGTCGGACACGAACAAGCCAAAGGATCCTTCCAGATTCCGGAACACACTAAAACGACCGTGGAGCTTGTAAAGAACGGCGGTTGATTCGAATGGGGTCAACCGGTCAACGCCCTTTTGACTTGCATCCACATTCCGCTAAGGGTCGTTTGGCAACGTCCCTTGTGATACCAAGGAGGGAGCCAATCCTATGACTGCTTCACTTTTGAGGGGGACTCATTATCACAAGTGTCCCTCAGCAAGACCCCCAGGTATGTACCTGTGAGTTGTTTGCGTGGGGGGTTCCTGGTGCCCTAAGTCAGCTTCACTCAAAGGGTGGTTTGGAGCCAAATCGATGGCTTGGTTCCCATTCGCCCTCTACAAAAACCAGGGGTTCAAATTCCAAACCAATCCAAAGCACCAATTAGGGGACACCTCGCAAAGACCCACCGTCTCCCACTTGGCATGTCCACCCCAGCCCTCGCTGGCGATCCTGACGCCACTGCGGCCGTCAGGCGAAAGCTTTGAGAAGTCCTGGCGTAACCCCTTGGTTCCTACTCTGAAAGGTTACCGAGCCTCAAAACAAACAAAGCCAAATTTGTATACTCTGGCTTTGGCTTTGCCAAGGGATGTGACCAACACAAAGGGTCACAAACCATTTTTAGATGTGTTCGAAAGGAACCTTTGGTTCTTCAGATAGAGGTGCACACATTGGGGGGTGTCCAAAATGCTTCCCAGAAAGCTGTTCTGACCCGGCCACTAAACAATGCCAACTCGAATGAACGTTTTAATGGGTAATATGTTCCAAGGCTAGCACGCTGGGGGTCCCAACTGCTGTCTTTTTCTTCCAGTTCATTTTGGTTTTTGGGGGTCCTCCAAAACCGTTCCTAACATCCCTTGTGGTCGGATTGGAGCTTCTCAGGGTCCGAACTCGTGCCGACTCCCGACCCACGTAACATGCAGTGTGTTGAAATATAGGCACCCCAAATGGGTTGGTACATGGATGAGTCCAAAAGCAAGGCAACCCCAAGCAGAGAACCTATATAAGTGCGTCTTATACCCCTTTTTATGTGGCTTTGAAAGGAAACCAAAAGGAACATTCGAAATCCTGGGTGTTGGCGCCAGCGGGTTTTTCATCCCAGAAAACCTTAGCCTATGGGCCAGCCCACTTGGGCAACCCGAGGCTTGTGTACTGAGCGAACAGAGCCTTGAGGGGGTCCCTGAATTCAACACCGATACGGTTCGTGGCGAGCTCGTTTCGTTTACTTTGCAAACGCATGTCCTGCGTCTCATCAGGGTCCGGCGAGGCCATTGCAGCGGCACCTGAGAGAATGGGTGGGCGACATCCAGAAAAATCGCGCCACCGTTTTTTTTAAGATACCAAACCATGGTTGAATGAAACCCATGGTTTGTTCTTTGGCATTGGCAGGGGAATCGAAACATAAAATGGGTTTCTTACAGTGCTGAACTGGGCTGTCTGGTTTCAGATCCGCTAAAAGTTTAACACTGTTCGTGGGTGAAACGGACACTACGACGAAACCAACGAAAAACCTAAAAACCTAGGAACCGGACAGCTGGGAACCACCAAGTGAAATAGCAGCGCGGCTGTTGCCCCAAAGTGAAGACTCTCCTCGAAAATTGGACGTCCCGATCAATCAGCCAGAGATTGAGTTATCCTTGGTTCCCATGAAAGGAAAGCCAGGATCCCTGGCGAATCCATGGGGGGGATTTCCCGTTTCAGAGAAAATGACTATAGGACCCCCCCCAAGGATTATCAGGTTGATTGATCCGGGGGTCGACATTGCAGCAAGCTCCTTTCGATCGTTCTGTTTGTCTCAAACTTTGGAACCAAAGGCTTTAGGCGCAGAAGGGCGAACATGATCTGAGTCACTGGCAACGTCTGGCTGCGTTCGATTCCAGACACACCATGGTGCCCAATGGGTTACAGCTACGGTTTTGTGCACGGATTTGGGCGTGTCCTTTTTGGGGGTACCCCCTTTTTTGGCGGTCTTGCAGGGAATCAACAGGAAAACAGAAATCCATTTTTTGGGGAAGTCCAACCTCAAAAACACACACACACACACCGACGCATGACACACCCAGACCCTTCAGTTTGAGAGGACGTCTAGAGCTCCAAGCCTTTGACCGCTAAGGAAAGTCTTGCGTCAAACGGGCCTCGATCAAAGGAGCTCTAAAGAGGCGAATTAGCCGACATGAGTTTCGACCGTTTCCGCACATGTCCACCACCGCTCGTCAGCGGACCCCGATGGTCCCGTAAGAAGAGGCCTCTTGCAACAGGCCCTTCCAGGGTCATTCTTTGTGTCGTGAAAAAACAAAACATATATATATATATATCCATATAATAGAGCCTGGGCTGCATTAAAGTTGTCGTTACTTCTGGCCCCTTGCATGTTCAACCTGCCTAGTAAGCAATAAGGTATATCTATGGTGACAACTACTAATTGGTTTCCCTAGAAACACGGTTACAAAGTTATCACCTGCTTACTAGGTCGAAGATCCAAGTAGGGAAGGCATGGCAGCTGAACAGTTCATAACTCGGTCAAGGAGCCGCCAAGCTTTGGGCAAAGCCCACTGCATCCACTCGCGCGGGGTATTGTAGCAACATGGCGTCAAGCGAGTCCAGGTCGTTCTCGGCCCGAAAAAGCGGGCTGACACGGTTCCTTGTACCAAACCGGGGGGGGGGGGAAGTGGTTTGACAAAATATGTGACGCGTTGAACTGCGGTTATCCAGATCCTTATTCGTATCCCGATCACATGAAAGACCCCCGCTCCGCCGCCGCACACTCACAAACGGACCCCTTCTGGATGATGAAGCCAAAAATGAATGGGCAAATTCTGCTTGCGAAATAAGCGCCCAACACCAACTCGGATGTTGGTTGTTGTGGTTGGACATTTTATGTTGCTCGGGCTGAAGAATACGGGCCTAAATGATTATTTACTGGCATATTGCTCCTATCATGACATAATTTGGCTTGAAGTACACAACCCGATTCTACTTATTCAGGCCCTTGATTCTGGATCCTCGCTCAACCAGGTAGGGAACAAACCCTACTTGTAGTTAATCAAGCGGTCTTCCTCTCGCAGGAGTTTCTCATGTCGAGAACTTGCAGGTCGGCCCTCGCTATGAGCCAGGCGAGAGCAATCCCCAACTGGTGCACATCGGAACCTCCAGGGGGTTCTTCAAAACAGGGCTCGTTTGCAGCTTCTCAAATACCCTGCTGGAATCAAAACCTTGGAATGGAGGCTCGGACCTTTCTGCCATGCCAGCATGTCTGCGCCTCTGTGACTCTGTGTCTCTCTCTCCCTCTCCCTCTCTCTGCTGTGTGTGTGCAGGAGGTGTCTGCATGTCTGCGAAGGTGGGTCTGGGTGTGGGACTGTGTGGCTGCGTGTGTGCGCTCGCGCTCGCGCTCGCGCTCGTGCTGCTGCTTGTGCTTGTGCTTGTGCTTGTGCTTGTGCTTGTGCTTGTGCTTGTGCTTGTGCTTGTGCTTGTGCTTGTGCTTGTGCTTGTGCTTGTGCGCGTGCGCGTGCGCGTGCGCGTGTGGGTGTGTGTGTGTGTGTGTGTGTGTGTGTGTGTGTGCGTGCGTGCGTGCGTGCGTGCGTGCGTGCGTGCGTGCGTGCGTGCGTGCGTGCGTGCGTGCGTGCGTGCGTGCGTGCGTGCGTGCGTGCGTGCGTGCGTGCGTGCGTGCGTGCGTGCGTGCGTGCGTGCGTGCGGTGCGTGCGCGTGGGTGGGTGGTGGGTGGGTGGGTGGTGGGGGTGGGTGTGTGAGTGTGTGTGTGTGTTTGTGTGTGTTTGTGTGTGTTGTCTGTGTGTGTCTGTGTGTGTGTGTGTGTGTGTCTGTGTGTCTGTGTGTCTGTGTGTCTGTGTGTCCTGTGTGTCTGTGTCCTGTGTCTGTGTCTGTGTCTGTGATGCGCGTGCATGCGTGCGTGCGTGCGTGCATGCGTGGGTGCGTGCGTGCGTGCGTGCGTGCGTGCGTGCGTGTGTGTGTGTGCGCACGCGTGCGTGCGTGCATACGTGCGTGCGTGCGTGCGTGCGTGGGTGTGTGGGTGTGCGTGTGCGTGTGGGTGTGTGTGTGTGTATGTGTGAGTGTGTGTGTGTGTGTCTGTGTGTGTGTGTGTGTCTGTGTGTGTGTGTGTCTGTCTGTGTGTGTCTGTGTGTGTGTGCGTCTCTGTGTGTGTGTATGTGTCTGTGTGTGTGTGTCTGTCGGTGTGTGTGTGTGTGTGTCTGTGTGTGTGCGTCTGTCTGTGTGTGTGTCTGTCTGTGTGTGTGTGTCTGTCTGTCTGCGTGTGTGTATGTCTGTGTGTGTCTGTCTGTGTGTGTGTGTCTGTGTGTGTGTGTATGTGTTTGTGTGTGTCTCTGTGCGTCTGTGTGTGTGTGTGTGTGTCTGTGTGTCTGCGTGTCTGTGCGTCTGTGTGTCTCTGTTTGTCTGTGTGTCTGTGTGTCTGTGTGTCTGTGTGTCTGTGTCTCTGTGCGTCTGTGTGTGTGTGTGTCTGCGTGTCTGCGTGTCTGGGTGTCTGTGTGTCTGCGTGTCTGCGTGTCTGCGCGTCTGCGTGTCTGCGTGTATGCGTGTCTGCGTGTATGGGTGTCTGTGTGTCTGTGTGTCTGCGTGTCTGTGTGTCTGCGTGTCTGCGTGTCTGTGTGTCTGGGTGTCTGTGTGTCTGTGTGTCTGTGTGTCTGTGTGTCTGTGTGTCTGTGTGTCTGTGTGTCTGTGTGTCTGTGTGTCTGCGTGTCTGGGTGTCTGTGTGTCTGTGTGTCTGTGTGTCTGTGTGTCTGTGTGCTGTGCGTCTGTGTGTGTGTGTGTCTGTGTGTCTGTGTGTCTGTGTGTCTGTGTGTGTGTGTGTGTGTGTGTGCGTGTGTGTGTGTGTGTGCGTGCGTGCGTGCGTGCGCGTGCGCG